TTTTTTTTTTTTTTTTTTTTCCATACGAAATACACGAAATACGATATTTCTACTCTATCATATTTTTTTTTCAATAATAAAATCTTGAATTTGGAAAACGAAAAGGGAGAAAGAATTATTAAGGTGTTTTATAAGTTTCTTTCTTTTTTTTTTTTTTTTCCATACGAAATACACGAAATACGATATTTCTACTCTATCATATTTTTTTTTCAATAATAAAATCTTGAATTTGGAAAACGAAAAGGGAGAAAGAATTATTAGGGTGTTTTATAAGTTTCTTTCTTTTNTTTTTTTTTTTTTTTTTTTTTTCCATACGAAATACACGATATTTCTGCTCTATCATATTTTTATATCTCTCGAGGAGTCTTATTTTCAAAATTCCCTCTTTTCAAAATTATTTTGCTTATTCGCAAAATATTCCTCGATGCAACGTTTTGCATTGTCGTTCTTCGGAGTTGGAATTTATAATTTATCCATCAAATGAGGAAAGATTATAAAGAATTATATTTTGAGACGTAATCTTGTACCCGATTCACGTAATAAAATCTTGAATTTGGAAAACGAAAAGGGAGAAAGAATTATTAGGGTGGTTTATAAGTTCCTTTCTTTTTTTTTTTTTTTTTTTTTTTCCATATGAAATACACGATATTTCTGCTCTATCATATTTTTACATCTCTCGAGGAGCCTCATTGTTCCCTCTTTCCAAAATTTTTGAAGGCAAAATATTCCTCGATTTGCACTGTTGTTCTTTGGGGTTGGAATTTATAATTTATCCATGAAATGAGGAAAGATTATAGAAAACGATATTTTGAGATGTAATCTTGTACCGATGCATGTCATAAAATCTTGAATTTGGAAAATGAAAAGGGAGAAAGAATTATTAGGGTATCTCATAATTTTCTTGATATTCTTACATCCCTCGAGAAGCTCCTCGATGCAACGTTTTGCATTGTCGTTTTTCGAATTTATAATTTACCCACAAAATGGGAAAAGATTATAGAGAATAATATTTTGAAACGGTAATCTTGGACCTGATTTATTAGGGAAAAAAATTATTATAAGGGAAAAAAAATTATTAGGTGTCTTTTTCCCATACGAAATGAATATACAATATTTCTGCTAATTGTTGGCTTACTCGCAAAAATATTCCTCGAGGTGCATTTTTATTTCGCTCAAGGAACCGTTTATCATGGAGAGAATTTTTTAACGACAGGAACAAATAATCAAATTCAGTCTCAATCAAACTGTAACAACTTTTTTCTTACAATCACTGCAACGTGCGGTTTTGCATTGTCTCAGTTCGCCAATTCTGGCTGTTTTTCCGCAATGGCGGCTCTCAATTCATCAAGATCGCAATATTTTATAGAATTGATGGATTCATCTTGAGGAAGGAACTCATAGTAAACTATATCTTTCCAATCCCACCAAATGGACTAAAGAATATTATTTATTTATATATTATTTATTTACTTCGCTCACGAATTGTTTATCACAGAGAGAATTTTTCAACGACAGGAACAAGTATAGTAGTCGGAGTATAGAGCGACATCTGAATTTTATTCGATAATGAAATCCTCCTTCGAAGACAGTTGAATCCTTCTGAATCTATTTAATCCTTAAATCAAATGCATTTTCGATCCATATTTTGGTACAAAATCCAAGTCTCCAGTGACAAGCCTTTTTAAGAAACGATCTCCTCTTTCATGTCGCTGGAGAAGCAAATCGCACGTAGAGACACGATTCCGTCAATAACTGTGGAAACCTTACATCGATCGATATATCCTATCCTGATCTATTGTTTTCCTGGAAATGTTAGTAGCATCCGCTATCTCGCGGATTTTTAGCGAGATAGCCTTGACAAGATCCGTGTATCCTTCACCTTTCGAGTCAAAATTGCCAGCTCTAAATTCCTTAAACCAATCATGGATGTAATAATAAAATCGTAGCCACCATTCTCTAAACGGTACAAATCTAATCTGCAGTATCATTTTTTAAAGCAACTAAGCATTAACATGTTGCAAATGCTTCCTTTGACTATTCATATTGAACGGTGTAGAAAAATGTCTTAACACGTTGAACGCGTTCCAATGAAATCTTCAGACCACGCGCGCCACTGTACCAAGCATACTCTGCTAGGTATTCACATCTATATTTTGTTAATGCGAGTCGTTGGTGATATAATAATAAGCAAAAATAATCTTCCGCATCATTTGTTTTTATTACATTGCTGAGGTCCTCACCAGTGTACATGAACAACTCTTCGAACGTTTGATCGAGTAACGAGTGGTATAATTGTTAAAAATTTCTGCCCTGATTCGTTCCAATGTCGAAAAGAAGAATGGAAGAGTTATGTCTTAGCGAATCATATAACGGTCAACGATTTTTCATCCAAATTGTCCCGACCGACTTCAATTTTGTACAGAATATTAATCTTTTTTAAAGGATAAATATAAATTATTCCATAATATATAATTCGTAAATCTTGAATTCTATTTATATAATCCATTAAATATAGAATTTGAGGAATTGGAATTTTAATTTTATCGATATCAATAGCAGCAGCATTTATAGATTTATGTTCTTCTCGAGGTCAAATATCATATTAATTTTCATTCTAAATAATTTTAATAAACCATTTTTGTATTACTTTTATAACAATTCAAATAGTTTTATTACGTACTGTGGAACATCCTTCGTAAGTAGTCAAATAAGTGTCACTCGTGCTCGACGAGAACTTTTCCTGTCACTGAATATGGACGAATATGGCGACAGCCAATCGCGTTTGAAAGAGCTCTGGGACGACTAAAAACCGATGCTACAAACAACTAACAGATAAGCACACACACTCGTATAAAAATAGCCAGTTAAAATTATTCCTAGTGCGAAAGAAACTTATGGGACATCCTAATATAATTTTCTCCCATATCTCTTTATTATTCTATTGCTCATTTTTTTGTCCACACAAGGTTGTATCGAAAAATGCAATGCCGTGGTCGAAGCGGATCCTGATTCGTCGGCCCCGTTCAAAGAGAAAATGGACGCGTTCTTTCGGGAGGCGAGAACAGAACTGGCCAACGAGCAGCAGGCACTGCTCGAGGCTAGGGGAAAATTCAAGGCTGTGATGCAATTCTACCAATACAAGCCCAAAGGGACGAATCTCGACGCGGCCGATCCAAACGCGTTCTTTTCCCTTTGGCTAGGTTTCTGCCAGGATTTCAAGGTAATTTCGAAGATTCTAACCTATTCTCCATTTGTTAAGCGTCCCGTTTACAGGATATTTGGAAGAAGGAGCAGCAACGAATAAAGAAGGAACGGATGGAGGAGATGAAAAAGAAGTACGAGAACAAGACGAAGGTGGAGAAGTTGAAATTGAGTGCAACAGGGTTGAAAGCACGGCTTCAAAAATTATCGCGAAAGTAGAAAAGGAAAAGAAAGAAAAATATATATATATATATATATGCGTGGGTGATTGAAATCGACAACGCGATTTCAATTTAATCGGAGCGGTGTTCGAGCGAGGATTGGTCGGTATACCACGCTACGCTACACATATACCGGTTGTGTATGGTAATACGAGGACAGTTTCTTTGGATCGATCGTCCGTTCCGTTCGATCCGTCCTATTATTATTATTATATTATTATTATTATATTTATATTATTATTATTAATATATTATTATTATTATTATTATTATTATTATTATTATTATTATTATTATTATTATTATTCTACGGCACTAAAGTTTCATCGAATTCGAATCGAATAACGATTATTGATTACTGATAGATAAGAATCGATACGAGAGAATCTGAATTGTAATATTGTAAATAAGGCTTGTTGTTAAGTTTGCGTATATAATTTGTTATAATTTGTAAATACGATTGTTCCGCGAGTGAAATAATATTCGGATAATTATAATAAACGTTACTTTTTACATGAATTACTCCTCGTTTCTTCTTTTTCCCTCCCCGCTCGAACCGTATATTCTCGGATAGAAAAAGAAGGAAATGGAAGTGGAAAATGATCTTTCGTCGTTCTTTTCATTTTTTTCGTATTATTTTTTTTTTTTTGTTTTTTTTTGTTTTTTGGTGTCAAATGCGTGTGCGTTTTGCGTATATTTTTTTTTTTCCACTGCAATTAGTAATAGCGACGATACAGAACCTTCAAGTAAAGCGGAAAACAGAGATTAAACATTTAAGAATAGTTAATAGATTAATCGCATCATTCGTTCGTTCGTTCGTTACTCGAATCGTGCTTTCTCTTTCTCTCTCTCTCTCTCTCTCGCGCGCGCGTTCTAAAATGTAAAAAAAAGAGGAAGAAAAAGGGATGGAGGAAGGGAGAAAACGCTAGGAAATTTGCAAAATAGATTTACACCGTTTGTAAAGCCCGACAAGACTGGTTGCTTGGAACTGGTTTCTCTTCTTTTTCCACCGGACATCGAAACACAGGTTATGTTCGTACATTATTTCGTTCGCTCGGCCGATAACAACTTGGTTCAAGGGCCCTTTCGGTTCATCCGTTGGTCGGCTCACTTCGGTAAGGCAGGTACGATTTCGCGCAAAAGCGGTTTTACGGCGACAGACTTAAGGCAATCGTGTTGCGTGTAAATAGTAGCGTTAAATTCGTCTTTTTCTTTCTTTTTTTTTTTTTTTTCTCTTTTTTTCTTTTTCTCTTTTAGGAAATTGTCTTACTCGCGGAGTGGAGTTCCCGGCGCGATACCGACTCGGAGGAGGATCGAGCATTATTTACACGATGCTTATTTCTTCGTCTCTCTCTCTTACTCTCACTCTCTCTTGATATCGATCGTGCTCTCTTCCGTAGGGGCCCTTTTTTCTTCTTCTCTATCGTAAAGTGAAAAAACGAGAGACGGAGCGGTGATTAACGAATGGTAATTAGAAAGAAAGAAAAAAAACGGAAAACAAAAATAGAGAAACACAACGTGGAAAAGAAACGTGGAAGAGGAAAAAAAGAAAGAATCGATCGAATCGACGAAGTCGGCGATCTCGTGATTCGTGAATACGCATTACACCCGCGAACATGAAACGCTCGTTTCTTCGATTGTGTTACGACCGGTAAAAACCTAGTAGTAGTAGTAATAGTAGTAGTAGTAGTAGTAGTAGCAGTAGTAATAGTAGTAGTAATAATAGTAGTAGTAATAATCCCTATGGATAACGTAAAATTACAATTACAATTAATCGTTACGAGCTAATTCTTTCGGTAAAGAAAAACTTATTTACGAAATAATGTTAAATTCATTTCGGTCATCGTCGTCGTCGTCATAATATTCGCGGAGCGAACGTCTCCCCCTCGTACGTATCGATTTATTTACGTACATTATACGGACGTTCGCGGTTATCGCGATCAATTATTCCCTTTTTTTTTCGGATCGCGCGCTCACTCTCTCTCTCTCTCTCTCTCTCTCTCACTCTCATTCGAACGCGCGTCCATTCATCGTCGTCATCGTAATCGTCATTTCCTCTATACTTTTTTTCTTTTTTACAAAATATCTCATCAATTGTGTTATATAAGCTCTTTTTTATACTCGATTCGGGGCGTATACCCGAGAGGGGCAGCCTCTTCCTCCTCCTTCTTCTCATCCTTCTCCTTAATCGTTAATTCGTTAATTTGTTCGTTCGAGGCTGGGAAGGGAAAAGAGAGAAGCTTGGCAACGCTTGGCAACGCTTGGCAACGATTGGCAACGAGGGATAGCAAGCAACAAACCAACCTCTCTCGGGCGACCCCTCTCGTTCGAAGAGTCATTATTTTTTTTTTTTCTTTTTATGCTTCTTTTCCTTTTTATATATTATTTATATATATATCATTAGAATATCCTAATAAATAGCGCTCTCGCAGGCGCGCGCGATTTTTGATCTTTCGATTTAATATTCTCGATCCTCGAAGCATAACCGGCCGCCGTTTATTGCCTATTTTTTTTTTTTTTTTTTTTTTTTATCTCGAGCTGCTGTGACGACTACTATAAACGGAAGGGCGCGCGTTGATCGACCGGGGTCGGTTTTCCTTTTCGATGGGAGGCGGGTGTCGTCGTCGTTGTCGTTGTCGTCGTCGAGACGGATGTGTCCGATGCACCGGAAGGCTTCCTGGACAGCTTCAACGATGGAGGCAGTGGCGTGCTCGATCCACTGGACGGTGTCCTCGTTCTAAAGGGATGGGGTAAAAAGATCAAAGGCTGGGATCAGCGTTTCGAAATGTAATAAATTAAACGGATTTAGAATCAAGATTACGATCTTTTTTCTTTTTACTTTTTTTTTTTTTTTTAATTATCATATATCGCGGTCGAACATCCCTTCCCCCCCCTCCCTTCGACTTTATTGGCCCGGTTCGTCTCACAATGTACGCGCGATCGCGACAAAGATCCACAATTTATGTATCGTAATAATAATAATAATAATAACGATAATAATAATAATAATAATGATGATAATAATAATGATAATGATAATGATAATAATAATAATGATGATAATGATAATAATGATAATGATAATAATAATAATAATAATAATGATAAGGATGGAATCAAAAACCGAAACGATGATTACCTAGCTTGCTTAACGGCCGACGAGGTGTTAGTGGCTGAATTTGTACACATCGAGCTGCTCCTACGGTGTTAGAAAAAAAAAACAAACACGACATTGGATTATATAACACGACATTTGATGGTGGAAGGAAGCGGTTAATACGCGGCCGTTTAAAAAATAAAATGTGTGCGCGCGTGTGTGTGTAATAAGCTTGTAGCTGTGAAACCAAGAAAAAAAAAAAAAACGCGGGAAAATCGAAGGCGAACGCATCGATGCCGATACGTTCACGATCGATCGCAACGTGGTTTTTGGTTTTTTTAAAAATTCGTAATCTACGAATTGCTACGTTCTAAACGGAAGGGAAATAATAAATAAGAGCGAGAAGAAAAACGAATACACGCTTGTGGTTTGCGCATGCAAACGGACACACGGACAACACACAACGCAAAGAGGTGCAAAGAGAAAAGAAAAGAAGAGAAAAGAAAAGAAAAGAAGAGAAGAGAAAAGAAGAGAAGAGAAGAGTGTTAAAAGTGGGGGGAGAAAAGTTGGGTCCATACCCGGTAGAATCGGTAGAAACAGTCGAGTGGTTGCTTTGCGTAGAATGAGTGGAAATATTGCTGGTCGTCGATTGTGGGGATTTAATATCCGTGCCCACGTACACGGGGATCCTCGAGCGGCTAAACATCACCCATCACCATCCAATTAATCAGTGTTTTGTTAATCGATTCGAATCGTGGCGCGGATTCTTTCTAACGCGCGTCCCTTTCGTTAATAATAATAATAAACCGATATTCTTCTTTTTGACGAGAAGAAGAGAAAAAAAAATAAAGAAAAGGAGAAAGAAAGGAAAAACGAGAAAAATTAATTCACCTTCACCATTGCCGCGAGCATTGAAACACCGAAATCAGGCGTTTTCCAACCCCTCTTTTAAAAGAAATTTTACCAAGAGTTTTGTATCTACGATTATTCGTCGTTGTTAGGATTGGAAAGCACCTGGGCTTAAGATGAATTTCGAAAGAATGAAATTGGTTAGATGATGGACTAAACTCGCCGCGAGCGAGAAGCTTAAAGCCAAATCCCCCGCCAATTTTACCCCTCGTCAATTTCGATAATTCGTTAATTCAGTTTACCTGATCGGTGTGCCGACACCAGTCAGGGTTGGAATGCTCGAAGCTCTATGGATCGTGCCAAACCTAAAAAAATGTTATTAACCAAATTTATGTTAATTGTCGTTATTTAACCGACACGTGAGAACCAGATGGTTAATCAGGCGTGGTTCTAAGATTCTAAAAATGAATAAATAAAATGTATATATATATGTATATATCTTCCTCGCGAGTTTCGTTCGAAAAAGAGGAAAAAGTAGAGGAAGAAGAAAAAAAAAGATAAAGAAATAAAAAAAGAAAAAGAAAATAAACAAAGGATGATCAAAAATGCCGGGGAAACGAAATATTTCATCTCATCAGCACACGGGAGGGACAATCGTCGATCCGATTCCAAGGATCATCCATGGATAATTACGAAAATGCAATGTTTAAGTTAATACGTACGATCGTGGTTGATGCTCCGTTTGTATCTTATGATCGAACCGATGCGATAAAAAAATCAACTTTTCTCTCTTTTACTTTTGGACAAGATGCGAGTTAGTCGTACGCAGATAATCTCAATGAAAAAAATTTTTTTTTTCTCGGATGTATACGCACACGTAAGAGAGTGCTATTTAGAAATTAAAGCGTTACAGTTACCTGGATGGGACACCACTCGCGGGGCTAACAAGCCCTGTGGGTGTTCGGGGCCGCGAACTCGACCCGTTCACAGGCGTTCCAAGCCGTTTCCCTGAAACGCTATTGTGCCTGCTAGACGTAGGAGTATTTCCCGTCGTGCTCACCGCCGTTCTTCGCGGAATACGGCTCACGTTCGTCGACTCGTCTTTGAAAAAGAAAAAACATATTTATAGAAATAATTCGCGGTTCTTTTTCTTTTTGTTCGGTCGAACTCGAGACGATTTAAGTTAACTTTGTGATTTAAGTTCAGTGGAGCGTGCTATATACAACGAGAATATCGATCGAGCCATTTCACGGTTTGGCCGTTCGTCGCTTATAATGTTTTCGTAGAATTGTTATCGCTATTTGAAACATCTAGCGAATTATTTTTCGCGATGTTAGCAGAACTTTCATCAACAACGCTTAATATTCTTTTTCTACGATTTTTAAGGGTACCTTTCTAATATTCTAATAATTTTAACACATTGTGTACGTCTGCTTGCTTAACAAGCTTCCAGGGTTCGCATATTTTTAAGTGCTACAAAAAAAAGTATACCACGCATATATACACTTTTTAACTCACGTTTATAAAGTATTCTTAAATATTATTATATATTTCTTATACATCTATTATGTAGAATTTTTTAAGTATTATTTATTATATAAATAAATCGATTAATTATTATTTGTTTTACAAATAATGCTTCAGAATATGATATCCGATGAAGCATTCTCCTTTGTGCAATGGTTTCGCTCTTTTTTCCATTCGACGAACAGACTTTACATTTTTGTCGGGAATTTCTTCTTGTCTTTTTCTATTATTGCTTCGAGTTTTTTTTAATTCCTCGAGTCGTCGAATGAGTCGAAAAAATGTTAAAATGAGATATCTCGTGACCCAATGTACGCAATGTGTTAGTATTTTTCAAGAAAATATACCTGCAGCTCAAAATATGGCGAAAAGAAAATTGATAAGCGTTTATCGCGTATGGCCAGATCGTCGTACCACGTCTCTCACGATATTATAGGATTAAAGAATTAAAGTGATTTCACAAATTAATATAAATTAACGTAAATAAACAAATTTTACATCTTGATATCTTACGTATCAAATTTTTGCTTCGTAATTTTCTATATATACGTAAATTTATTCTAAAGTAATCAAACGTAAATAAATAATATAAATCGTTACCGTATCGATTCTTCGGGGATGGAATTTATAATTTCCTCATCAAATGGGGAAAGGTTATAGAGAATATTTTGAAATCTGTAATCTTCTACCCGATTTACGTAATAAAATCTTGAATTTGGAAAAACAAAAAGAACTTATTCGTGCGCCTAATATATTTTCACTTATAAAGTTACATCAAAATAATTCAATCCAATAAAATTGAAAGCTAAAATACAACAAAGACTCCCGTATTCGAACTAATAGAGAGACAAAAGTGACCGAATAGCGGAATTTTGGTATAATAATAGAACAATTACTTTCTTTTGCATTAAACTTATTCAACTAGAAATGAATCAAAATTGATAGTTTCTCTCAATATTTAAGGATCCGCCAAGTCGCATAAATTTTTTATCGTAAGCAGCTGCAACCTAAAATTAATTTCGTTCCACTTTCACCACTTTCAACATCTTTAATCATTTTCTATTTCTCTTATAGTCAAAACTACACGTATGGCAATATATATATATAGTGAATCAACGCATCGATCCAAGGATAGTCAAAGAATATAATTCACTGATCGTTGAAATCGCTTACCGGTGCTGTCCAACGACTGAGTGGATCCATATCGACTCGGTGGCTTGCTTCCCTGTCGGGACGCCGGTCTACTTCCGGGTCTGCTGGTTGGTCTGGATGCTGGTCTCGAAGCCGGTCTCGAGGACGGTCGACTACCTCCTATACAAACAAATTTACCAATATAAGAATTCACGATTTACTTCTCGATATTATTAACCCTTTGCATTCCAGGCCTGTTTCGCTCGATCGAACCAACAATTCCGGACTCGGACCCGCGCGTTTGGCGCGTTTGGTGGAATTTCTTACAGCTAATTTATAATAATTTCACGCACAAATTAACGCATTAAATTTTTATATTTTAATATTTTATGTACCTTTAAATATAAAAAAACAAAATTAATAATATACGAATATATATGAAATATATTATAATATAAATGAATAATAATTTTGTCATTCAATAACGAAAAATCAAACTCATCTTCGCTTAAACTAATTTCATTATCGTATTCCATGCTTACAAATCTCAAAAATTTTGAAAATAATATTTCTATTCCCACGATCGAAGATGTCACGATCACGGTTTAATTCGAGATAAAAAATCTAGCCATTTAACAATATATTATTCTACACCTCATAAGATTATACGTAAAGAACTTAGGAATGCGATTATGAAGCGATATTCCAAAAAAATTAAACATAAATAAATATCGTCGGCGATCAAGTTGCCGCAACGATCCCAATGATGACCGAGAGTCAAAGGGTGGAGAGCAAAGGGTTAAGAAATAAATGATGTTTAGAATATAGAAATATTATTAAGAAATATGGTTTACCAGGTGTGATTGTGCTTCTGTACGGTGTACTCGATTTCCTTGCCGAGGCAATCTTGAAGGAACTCTCGTTGTCGCTCAGGCTGTCCGGCGTGCCGGCGCTGAGCGAGGAGCGGGATGCCCGCGATTGTCCCATTGGAACGCTTCGCGCGCTTCGCTCCCTCACCTACGCGACATAAAATCGAGCTCTGGTAAACGAACACGGTGGATGACGACGATGGCAACGAAGACGAAGACGACGATGATGATGATGATGCGTTCTACTTCAGAGGAGGCAGAGTAGTGACGCAAATGGATAGAGAAAGAGAGAGAGAGAGAGAGAAGAGAGTGGTGTTAGTTGAAACGTTGACGTCGAATCGCGAGGCGGAAGGAAATATTCGATCGATTTCGTTTTGTCGCCGAGACGAAGGAATTTTGCACGCTCGAGAGCCGATTCTCAATTCGTGGTTCGAATAATATGTATTTTAACCGCATTGAGAAAATTTTCAAATGTATAGGAAATAATTGTTTCGATTGTTTCGATTGTTTCGATTGCTTGAATTAATTCTATCTTTTAAAGAGTTTTACAGATCAGAGAAAATATTCTGCGAATTTTTTTAAAAAGTATTTAAATCTCGAAATTTTGTAATATAACATCTCGAAAAATTCGTCTATTTTGATTTAAATCATTATAAAATTATCGATAAATTTTTTGTAAATCAAACGATTCCACAATCGTTCCATATAACGCATGAAAAGTAGAAATTTTTACTTTTTTTTTACCGCCATATTTGATTCGCAAAACTCGTCATCTAGCGGATACTTCAATCTAGTCACTGATGGATTAATTTTAAGTTATCTTGTATTATGATATATATATTTCCATAGTTATTCAATCCATTATATTTTAAAGAAATAAGGAATAATAATATTCCTAATTTTATTATGAGGCAACTCGAGCGATTCATTGTTGGATTTCAATCTAACCGAATCAATAAGAGCGCAATATTGATCTGCGAACACGTTCTTTATCTCTTTATTTCTTTACTGCATGAAGCGTGTAAAATTATTTTATCTGTAATCACACTTGTCATCGCGAAATCATCTCGACTGAAAGAATATCGTCGAGCGCAAAGAATTAATTAAAAAAAAAAAAAATCGTTCCTTCAGCGTCGCGTGGATTCCGCGTCGTATCCTTTGCAGGAAGAATAATCCTTTGCGGCGAAAATCTTTTTCTTTTTCTTTTTTTTCCATTTCCTGCTCGGTCGTTCGTTTACAACCTTTCAACGCCACCGTGAATTTTTCATCAATTTAGAAACCGATCGATCTATCGAAGGAAAGAGTGTACAGAGAGAAAGACAGATAGAAAGAGAGAGAGAGAGAAAGAGAAAAAAACGAAAAAAAAAAAAGATCACGGATGAACAGATTGTTCGACGCAGAGAATAAATATTCTTACACCGTTTAACCGAGGATGGAGAGAAAGACAGAGAGAGGTAGAGAGAGAGAGAGAAAAAAAGAGATGCATGCAAACTTACCAGAGGAAGTTGGGACAGATATAGTAGCTTATGGTGATTCGAAGTATCTCCGATCAACGCCACTATGCACGCACCAATAATACAGCAATACAGGAGAGATCGTTATGCACAATATCGAGTAATTTTCTTACAGTTCACCCGTACACACTAATCCGCGAATACGCGCGAAAACTATTTATATATATATATATCATATCGTTTCTCTAACGTTCGGCACTCCCGACCTTCGATCCAGGGAACAACGAATCGAATATTGTGATAAATCGTAGACAGAATCGTGGACTAACTCGAAATCGATAATGAAAGAAAAATTTCCAGGAGGAAGCATCCCGTCGAACAAGTCGAGGATACCGATCGTTTTTTGGATTGTAACGGTTGCTCGTCCTTCGATAGAAGGGGGAGAGAGGGGATAGGAGTTGTTCGAGAGGCATCATCCAACGGTAGATAAATAAATTCGAGAAGAAGTGACGGCAAAATCAGACGTGGACGAGCGCGTGGATGAAAACGAGAAACAAAAGAAAGAGAGAGAGAGAGAGAGAGAGAAAAAAAGAGATCGAATCCCCTTCCCCCCGTGCGAATTATTCGAATCGCAACGAAAATTATTTTTCTATCGCGTTCGAAAGACAGAGCATGCGCATTTTCGAGTACAGACACGCGCTTCTATACACGTCTCGCGTGTATAGAAACGGAACGAAAAGAGACTAAACTACACCAATTCTAACGCATGCATGATTTCTCCGAGTTTTTAAAGCTTTGATGGTATGAGCCGAGGGGTGGGGGGTGAGGGGGGCGGGCTAAATGACGCTCTTCGTCGCGATAATCGCGAACGTGTCACGGTAACGGTGCGACGGCGCATAACTCGAAGGTAAAGAGAGAGAAAGACAGAAAAAAAAAAAAGGTACGAGATGTGAACGGGCGTTGAGATCGTGAACAACGTTTCCATTGGTCGTGATACAATGCAAAGGGAAGGGGTACACACGTGACAAGCGCACAACTTTAGAGAGAGAGAGAATGAATGAGAGAGAGAAAATCACCCAAGAACTAACTAAAAAAAAAAAAAAAAAGGAAGGAAAGATATAATATAACGAAGAAGAGAAAAGAAAATTGATGATGATGGAAAGAATAAACTAAAAAAAAAAAAATGGTTAATACAACGGTATCGATACAAACACGCGTATCACATCACACCATCGACAGCAGAAATTAAAAGAGTAGACAGAGTTTTTTTTCTTTTTTTCTTATTTACCCAATGATAAGAGGGGGCGTGCATGTGGAGGGGATACGAGCACGGGAGGTCCTCCTTTTGCCTCAAACTCTCAAAAATCGGCGTCAGCTGGCTCATAAACTCCTCCGCTACACCATAAACGAAAAGTTTAGGAATACACCGATCTTATTGTTGCGAGATTACCGTTTTTTTTTTTTTTTTTTTTTTTTACGTTTCTTCTTTTTCTTTCTTTTTTTTTTTTTTTTTGATCCAAGATCGAACGAACGTACGAAGCTTTCGATCTTCCCGATCGAATGTTCGATCGAAAGCTCCATCAACGTTCTATTCTATCAATATCGAATAACAAAATTGTCCAAAAATGGACGACGGCTACGATCTTTCGAGCCGTCGGATTCAACGTACAACAGAATATAATAGAAAAATAAATTTAAAAAAAAAAAATAGAGGGAAACAAACGATAAAAAGTACACACACATATATATATAAAAAAGGAGAGAGAGAGAAAAAAAAAAAGAAGAAATAGAATCTCGTGAAATCGCATCTCCTGAGGTGAGCTACTCTGTAATTCCCTCGGGCGGTACGAAACTCCCGCCGGAAGGGATTCGATTTCCGATTCGTTGCACGACCCGTTGAATCCCGAAACATGAATTTCGAAGGCGCATTCATCGCAGCGTGGCTGCTAGTGGGGTCACAGTTGGAGGACATTCGGCGGAAAACTGAAAACCCAAAAGGGATCTCTTCGGAATGGATCCAAAATGATAAACGGAAGAGGAAGGGGAGAGAAGAGAGGGAGAATGATCGAAAGCGCACTACCTCGAAGGTGCATTGGCAGGGCTGTATAATATATACATAGTATGTATGTATATATATATATGTATATATATAAAGGTAGCTCTAGGTGCGGCGATTGCTACCGTATCGAAAGCATGGCATGCTCGCATGCGAAGATTGAAAAAAAAAATACGAGAAATAAAAAAATTACAAAATAAAAAAATACGAATCAGGATCGGAAAAACAAAATAATCCTTGATTTCCTTCAGGGTCAGATCAGGCGGTTACTTACCTTAGTACGACTGTCGAGATTGAACTAGCCGAAAGACCAGAGAGAGAGAGAGAGAGAGAGAGAGAGAGAGAGAGAGAGAGAGAGAGAGAGAGAGAGAGAGAGAGAGAAAAGGATCGGGCGAAGCGAAGAAAAGTCAGAGAGAGAGAAAGAGAGAGAAAGAGAGAGAGAGAGAGAGAGACGAAAGGATGCGTGCGATCGATATCGAGAACCAAGAAAACAACGTGATTCTCTCGTGGTGCATCGATCGGCTTTCCGGCGGCTGAACGGATCAACGAACGATCCAATATTTGTGTTTATATTTTCCTCGAATCGACCTTGGCGTGACTCGAGACACGCGACACGATGGACAGAAAGAGAGTTTTCAGAACGAAGCCTCGTTCACGCGTATAAAACTGTCGATCGAATCAACGTCTATCTTATCTTAATTGTAAAATAAAAATAAAAAAATTCGTACGTGAAAGAGGCCTCCAAGTTTTCTCCCTAGGATCGATCCCCTAATCTCGTATTACGTACAACGAGAGATTCGCAGCACTCTTTTGGAATCTCGATAATACGATAAATACGATAAATCGTATAAGATCGATCGAAGGGAGGGAGAAGAATGGTGACACACACATTCGTTACCTTGGTGATGGGTCCGGCACTCGCGGATGAGATATGGGTACGCTGCAACGTGGAGGTAGGGCTCGGCTTCGATCTGAACGCCGTCATTGTCTGGCTGACCCCGTCCGCCAATATGAATTGCTCTCGCAGCTCGATATTCGTTCTTCCCTTGGCTACAGTGTGTTGCGTGCACGCAAGTTAGAAGGAAAGCCGTTACGGGACATGTATTGCGGGGTGGCGAAATAATAAGGGCGGGGGGCGGAGAGCGGGCGCATGGGCAAAGTAATGTTTTTTATATATGTATATATATATAAACAAAGAGAGAGAAAGAAAAAGAGAGAGACAGAGAGAGCAACGAGCGTAGAATAAAAAAAGAATGATATGATACAGAGAGCGTGTAATTAATGGATAACCGAGAGAAATAGCAGAGGAAACATAGTGTAAATCAGAGAGATACACGAATATGTAAAGCGATCAGAGAATATGTAAGAGCGGCGTTATATATCGAATATAATCATGCGCGTTATCAATAGCGTTGGATCAAAGAATTTAACAATCGAGTTTTATCGTAGTAAGGTGTTGTGTTATCGTGCAAACAGAAAATCGAAGTAGAAAGAAAGAGAGAGAAAGAGAGAGAGAGAGAGAGAGAGAGAGAGAGTAGAGAATGGTATCATTATACAGTAGCAAAAGGTTAAATAGTTGTAGCGATTAACGGAGAGGCAATGATAGCAGCGCACGCGGTATGTCATGTGCGAGTGTACAATGGAACAAAAAAAGAAAAAAAAGTACAGTGTTGTATTATATTCCGATGATAGAGAGAGATGGATAATTAAGAGGTAAGTAAAATCGCGGTATAATAAATGTCGAAGAATATTTTCTTTTCTTTAAAAAAACCGTTTTCATTTCATTCGGATCGATCCAACTATGGTTCCCCTTATATAGCAGCTATTCTCGTGATGTGAAAAATGATCCGTCAGATGGCATGCGAATCGCGACGACGTCGAAAGTCAACTATTCGTCTCGTTTGAAAACCCGTGACAAACTCTCGTCCATTTCTATTAATATTTTCCGATTAATATAATGAGAGTCGAGTTTCGACGACGTCGTTTAAGTAAGAGATTGAACGAAATGTCTCGTTACACGCGAGTAAAAAAGAAAATCGACACGACAGTCATGAAATGGATCTCGTTCATCTTTTGCCGTGTGATGAAAGGAGGAAAATGACTCGTGAAAGGTTAGACGATACTATTTTAATCGATCGATTAATTGTCAAAGTAAAAATCTACGCGAGCTCCTTTTTTCAAAAGATTCTCTGTTAGAAACTGACTCGAAACAACTTGCATGCCAATATTTAATTAATACACACGCGAAAACAAACTAACAGATACACAAGAAGAAACTTGGAACTCGTTGCGGGAAAGCAAACGTATGTAACACATGTACAAAAAAATACACGTACCATGCAGGATATAACGTTCATTTCGTGGCCAGTACGAGATAACGAGATAGAAACTTTTACGAAAATTTTTCGCAATTTGTTTTTTCACGAAAAAAGAAGAGAGAGAGGGAGGGAGAGAGAGAGAGAGAGAGAGAGAGAGAGAGAGAGAGAGAAAGATACAACGCACGGGCCACGAATTGCAATTATTCCCATATAAAAAGATTCTCACCGAGCGGACACCAACCCTCGTGTTGTTCCGGTTTGTTAGGGTCCGGTATCGGCATTAGAAAAACTTGACGAGTTAATTACGATTTGAGGACTTGAACTGGTCCATTTATTAATTTATTTAATATAAAAAAATATTACGAAGGCATGCAATATTCAATAAACTCGATGCGTGATTGAAAAATGTACACGTAATAATAATGTCGGAATAGGTAATAATACGTCGAGATAAAATTGTGCATCTTAATAAATGATGAGATGATTTCGATGGAGAGCGGAGACGGACAATAGTTATTCGATCGAGGGGAAGCGAAGGAATTGGCAGAGGATAGTATTCGGTATGACGTTAGTAAACTGATGACTAATGACAAGCGAGTCTCCCTGAATTACGAAAATTCACATTTACGATCGTTATGACATAATATAACCGAACGATCGAGTTCCACGAACTTTGCTTTGCAAAACAAGGATACAACGGAATGGCTAACTGGCAAAAATTGTAATAATAATAATAATAATAATAATAAAAAAAAAAAACAAAGAAGTTTAAAAATTAATTCGTGGAACGAAGATTCGTTCGTGATGGTTGTGGGGTTAATGATCAAGCTAAAACGAAAATCTAGCGAGTACTTGGGTAAAAAATATTACACGCGAAGAGGAGGTTGCAACTAACGAGCACACGCTTTCTTCTTCTGCTCGTATATACACGTATACACGATGTTAAAATACTCGTCTAGAGTATTACGGTTAATGATTAGTCACGCTCACACTTTATACCTCAGGAGCTGAGATCGTACACGTATACTAAATGTAGGTGAATACATATATATATATATATATATATATTTTTTATATATGTGTATATATGTATATATATATATATATATCACCAATAAAAATGCGATACAATGAAGAGAAAATGTATGATCACGCGAGAAGAGAGTCGATGAGGGTTCGTTAGTGAGACAATTTGATGAATGAAATTTTTTTTTTTTTCTTTTAGTTTTAATTTTCAATGATCGCGATAATACGAGATGTTTATAACCGAGGCAGCGGAAAGCGATTGAATTGCATTTCTTTCCCTTCTCTTTGGTTTTAAGTAACGGTTTTTAGTAAAACGCAAATAACAAAACTCAAGGTAAAAGAAGCATATGTTAACGTTAGTAAAGATATCTCAAATCAAGAAAAACAAGAAAACAAACAATTAATTCAATCCCACACGCGTTGTTTAGTCGATAAAGAAAATATAAAACGCGTTTAGCTGCCTCATTGGATGGGGACAAAGGGTTGGGGGACGGTGAAATTTATTTTTTTTTAAATCGAGAACCGGTCCATTAATATCGCGTTCAAAGGCAAACAGGGAAGACGTAACGGTCGAGGGAAAAATTTAAAGTTGTACTAATTGTTACGGTAAAAAAAAAAGTCATTCAAAATTGGACTAATTTCGAACTCATCGATTCCGACGGAAATATTATATATATTATATATAGATATAGAACGACGGTAACGGAATAGAGAGAAAGAAAATTAGATAGAATAAATGGATGAAACACTTACCGCGGCAAGGATCATTTTTTAATAAAAATTCGTCCAAAGCTACCCAACCACCACCGACTCGTACCATTACGGTCGATCGTAGAATTCGTACCAATCGCAACTTTTGACTGTCTCCGAACTGTAAAAAGAAAGAAAGAAAAATATTGAAATTAAAATAGCGAACAATAAAATATATATACATATATATATATATAACGTTTAATAATAGTAAAATGAAAATCAATTTTCAGATATATCTGTATACCCTATATTTTCCTTCGCCAACTTGGAACACGCGGAATTTCTGTCGACAAGTACAGAGCATCACCAATCGTTTCACTTCATCATGGATCTTGTCCGTATCATTGTACGTCCTACGTTCTTCCCAATCTGGTCTCAAAGCTGCGATGAACTCCTTCCAGTCTATCAATCCTTCGCCATGTTGGTCAAACAGATCCGCGACTGCTCCCATTTCTAACCTCGAAGTCTCAAATTCTATATAAATATAGATTGTATCAATTCAATTTGTTCAATTTTTTTCGTTTAAAGATTTTCAATTTCATTACTAAATTTACAAGAAAGTAAAGTTAAAACAGAGAACTCACTGGTATTCATGATTCCTTGGATGAAATCCTCACGTGGGATCAAACCGTCGTTGTTCTTATCCATCTTTCTGAAGAGATCCGTTAGCCTTGACTTTTTGTGATTCATGAATTTCAGGAACTGAAGTAAACGAACGAAGAAAAAAAGAAAATGGTTAATTTGGATAAAAATCAATGGAAAATCAAAAAATAATAACAATCTCTATCGTCCTTACCCTCTTACGCCAATCTTCCCAACTGAAGTTCGCGACTCGGTCCAATTCCTGTATGTAATTATATTTATCCTGTAGACGGCGTTGACGTTCCCAAGCCAACATCCAAACGTGTCTCCATCTGTCCCACAAAAGTTTCACTCTCGGGCTACGGAACTCAGGTTCGGCGCCTTTGCTATACATTGAACAAAAAATTGCGTCAACAACGTTTTCGCTTTTTCCCATCATACGAGAATGAGATGTTACGTATAAACAAAGCATGAGAGGCGAAGAAAGTGTATATACGCGATAAAAAAAAAAAAGAAAATATATTATTATAAATCGCTAGAAACTATTCTTATCGTAATATAAATAATTTCTCGAAATTTAATGAAAGAAAAGAAATGAGAACAAAGACAATTCGAAACAAAGACAGAGAGAGAAAGAAAGATAGAACAAACGATAAATTCATCAATGGAAGTAAATTGAATCGTAAGTAAATTGAACGTGATCGATAAAACTGTAAAGAAAGATAAATGAAAAAAAGAAGTATTTAAAAGGGATTGAAAGCGAAGCACTGATTAAAAAGAATGGAAGTAAGGATGTGGACGTGACGAACCTTCCTTTAGGTGGGAAGCGTGGGCCGATGTGCGGCAACGAATCGGGCGTTCTCTCACGACCTGGGCTGGCTCGGCTAAACAGGAACATGCGTCACATCACTCGACAACTTCTCTACCGGATACTCGCGGAACTAAACGAAATCGTGCATCGAACTCGATCGTGCGTCAACCATCGATCGATCCTCGAATTTCCTCGTCGAACGGGCAAACAGGGGGAAAGAATAGGAGAATAGGCCGCGAATTATTAGATTATATGGACTCTATTCCAACGCGATAATTACGCGTATCGTACGTGTATCTTATGGCAGCCTATTCTCGATATGTTCGTAAAGCGTACGCGCCTTGGTACCCGCTTCGACTTTGTTCGTCTCATTCAAATTTAAAGATATATCACATAACCATGCTTCCACTACGAAACGAAACAATCGATCAGATTTTATTTTATTTTCTCCCCGTTTTACTCGCCTGAACGCACCTTTCTGTCGATTCCAACTGTCCCCTCGTGCGTGGACGCCTGCACTTGACTCGTTAACAAAAAAATCTTTCACGCAGACAGAGAAATTAAAAGAAAAACAAAAAAAAATAAATAAATAAATATACAATTGAAAGAAGAAGAAGAAGAAGAGTATCAAACACATGCACGGGCAAGTGTAACTTTTCAAACGACAAAGCGTACGCAAACGAAAAAACAAACGAGAAAAAAAAAAAAAAAGGAAAAGAGTTACTCGATTCGGTTATTTAAATTAATATCGAGAGAAGCGGATCGGCGAGTATCATTTTATTTTTTTCTTTTTTGCTTTTCATCTACCTCGAACGAACGTTGACATCGAACGAGCGCGATCCTTGATGAGTTCGATCTCGCTAAAAAATTGGAACTAAAAAAACCAACGAAAAAAGAAAAGAAGAAGAGAGTGAACGTACGTTGGCGCGGGCGACTTAGCCTTCGTTATCTTCTTCGCGTCTTTCGCGGATTTGATCTGCCTGGCTTTGCACACGCGATCGACCTCGTCCTGTCTACGACTAGTGCTCTCCATAAACTCCCTGTGCTCCCCGATCAACATTTCCAGAGTGGCTTTGTCGTCCGGCAGTGGCTCGGCCTCGAGCGCGTTCAGGGTGTTCTCCAACCCTTCCAACCACGACAACAACTCCTCCAAAAGATTGTCGAGATCCTGAAGAAGACGAAAAAAATGAAGTGAAATGAAATCATCCTATCGAGATCCTAAAAAAAAAAAAATCACACGAATTCGATACCTGAAGTCCACGCATATGATTCTCAAGCCTCTGATTCCTTTGCTGGGCCCACGTGGACACCTCCTCCCACCTCGATTGAATGATCGTTATCCAATGCTTGATGACCAGAGCGCCGTCCGGATGCGCCTTGGCGAGGATCGCCTGCGCCAGTTCCAACGTCTGCTCCTTCTCCACCTCCTTCGCCCTCAATTCCCGCAGGAACTTCTCGTGCTCCATCAACTGGTTCCTGCTCTCCTGCTCGTCCTCGGGCAACTGTCCGGCGAATCTCAGCTTCATCTCGGCGTCGCTCAACCACTCGAGAAGCACGTGGACAGCCTTGTGCAGCCGTTCCGCCTCCCTGAGGGCGGCCTCCAGCCGCCCGGTCTTCTCCGTCGAAAGCCTGGTCACGGTGTCCCAGAGGTCGTTCAACTCGGCCAGCTGAGAGCCGATCGCGGCCGCGTCGTCCTGGGTCGCCTTGTCGAGGAGCTCGCGCCCCGTCCTGATCACGGACTCCATCTGGGTGGCCCTCGACTCGAGATCCTTCTCGAACGTTTTGTGCTGCTCGACCAAGTTCGTGACCGTGTCGAGGTCGCCGAACAGCGGCCCCGTGTTGGCCAATTGCTTCTCGGACTTGACCAGCCACTCGAGCAACGCCTGCACGGCGTCCTTGAACTGTCCCGAGAACAGCAACGCCTCCTCGAGCCTCCTCTGCCTGTCCACGCACTTGCCGCACACGGTCGTCCACTTGTTCTTCAACTCGTTCAACAATTCCTTCAACGCGAGCTCGTCGCTCTTCGGCGCCTTGTCCTTCAACGATTTCCCGTTCTTCATCGCAAGGTCGTACGCGCCCTGCTTCGAGCTAAGCGCTTTCTGCAACTCTCGATGCTTGTTCAACCTCGCCTTGATCTTCTCCGGGTCGTTGCCACCGAGGCCTGCCCCGTCCCCGGCTACCTCGTCCAAGATCCTCTCGGTTTCGTCCAGCCAATTCATCAGAGCGGACCAAGCGTCGTGGAATTCCCTCGCCTCCTTGTAACCGTGATCCAACGCCCTGGTCCTCTCGGCCGATTTCGAGACGACCCTCTCCCACCTGTGCTGCACGCTTATCAACAAGTTTTTGATCAGTATCACGTCCTGCTTCTGGGAGAAGTACTTCAAGTGGGTCCCCTTCTTGTCGAGGTTCAGCATCGTCTCGCGGTGCACGCCCACGTCCTTCTGGAACGCTTTGTGCTCCTCTATCTGGCCGAGGATCGTCTCCATCACCCTCGAGACGGGTTTCAAATTCGTCAGGATCTTCTCCGCGTTGGTCAGCCAATCGACGAACGCTTGGAGGGCGTCGTGGAACTCGGTCGCCTCCTTCAGGGCGATCTCGAGCTTGATCCTCTTGTCGTTGGCGCGCGCCGTCACGTTGTCCCATCGTTGCTTCAACGTCTTCAAATTGTGGCTCAATCCCCCAGCGCTGCTCGAATCGGCGCGCTTCAGGTACTCTTGACCTTGTTGGAGCACGGTCTCGACCTTGCCCCGACTCTGCTCCAACTCGTTGTACACCTCCATGAAACGCTCCAATTGTTCGGTGGCCGTTTCCGGTAAACCGCCGACAGGCTTCGAGGCAACGATGGTGTTGTCCACGTCGCCCAGCCACGACAACAGATCCTGGATCTCGGCTGTGAACGACTGCGCCTCCCTCAGAGCGTCCTCCAGTTCCCGTTGACGGTCGGCCGCGCGCTGCAACAGATCGCGCCAACGGCGATTCAGCGTGCCCAGCTTCTCGGCGGTCGTTGATGCCTCGGCCGTTCCCTTCCCGTCCTCGATCAATTGCCTGCCCGCGTCGTTCAACGTGTCCACGCTCGTCTGATGGGCCTGGATATCGTTCACCAACACCTTCAGCTTGGCAAGCTCCACCTCGATCACCTGAGGGTCCCCGGCGACCGCCTTCAAATTGTCCAACGTGTCGTCCGTCTTCTCGATCCACACCAACAACTCGTCCAACGCGTGTTGGAATTGCCCGAGGCGGAGCAACGCGTTCTCCAGCAACCTCTGCCTCTCCACGAGACCCCGAAGCAATCCGTCCCATCGTTTGTTCACCGCGCCCAACGGCTCCTTTATGGCCGCCGCTTGCTCCGACGACGTCCTCTCCGTTAATTCGGCGGCTTGTCTGCAATTCGGCGGGGAAATAATCTCGTTTCTCCAAGAATCGTATCGTTGTTGTTGTTGTACTCACAGCGAGAGTCGTGTGAGAAAGCGTGTTTAATATTCGATATCTACTTGGGAGAGGATCGATACGGGGGAATCGTGCAAGGAATTACTCCAAAGTCTCTGCGAGATCTTCTATCGAAAATTATTCGATTCGTTTTTGCGTAGCGAGAGAGACCTCGAAGGGAATAAAGTAATTCCTCGATAACGATAACAAAAAAAAAAAAGGAACGTCGCGATTATCAAGTTCAATGTTCGTTGATGGAAAAAAGTCTGGCGGTTATAATAGGAAACGTATTTTTGTTTCCAGCGTGGTATTAATTCGATTGCGACAGAGAGAGGCAATAAAACGAGGATTATTAAAATTTAATAATTTTATAAAAGTATCAAAGGTAAAATAATTTTCTACGATTTTCGAATTGTAGCTCTTCCACCGTTGCTTTTGATATAATTTAATAATTTTAATTTAAACGTAATTTCGTATTGAAATCGTAAAACAATTTTTACGATTTTAAACGTTCGAATTATTATAGCTGTTTTATTATAGCTATTGCGCGACGCGTGGTGTCAACGAAGCGTGTAAAATAAAGATAAGACGTTCAAGCGAAGAACCCCTCTTGCCCCTCTGCCGTCCGCCGCGAGACTTTTTTCCAACGGTGAACTATATATACCTACGGTACAATACGTGTAAGTAGAACAGGCACGTCACGAGCCAGGCAACAGCCAAGGCAGACATGCAGGGCAAGGTATATACAATACGTTCGCCGACCAACACTGTTCGAGTTCCAATGTTAAAGGAAATCCAATTCATTCGATCTTAACTGGTGATGATGTGTTACGGATATATTATACAATTAAAGGGGGGGGTATGGGGTATATAACCTGTGGCATTCCAGTAATCTGGATCTATTATATATACGTATATATATATATATATATATACTCGAAGGTTACAAATCGAGGGTAATAATAACAAGAGTGTAAGCCATGCTCTAACTACATACTGTTACAACAACAGAGAGAGGTTGACTTGCCTTGTCAGACTCCTATGCGTTCAGGAAACACCGGCGCGGAAAAAACAAAAATTGGGATTAGAATCTCGCTGTTTAGACACGTGGAGAAAAAGAGACAGAAAGGGGGGGGACTTTCGCACAAAGATGGAAGATCGACGCGACGTAAACAGACTAATAAAGTAGAGCGGACGAGCAAAATCTTGGTGATCGATTAAAATATAAACGGTTGGCGAGTAATCTCGCGGAAATTATTACAACTACTGCAATTATGTATCTTTCTCGACACGGCAAATTCAGCAAAGGGAGGGCGATCAAATTCCGATGATACCGCGTAACCGCGAATAAAAAGAAATCGAAGAGAATCGATTACCTGTTGAGAGCCTCGACCTTGACCATGTGAGGATCTACTTCCGCTTTGAAATTGGCCAATTGTTTGATCTGTTTCTTAACCTCGTCGATGTCGCTCCCGAGGGGTCCCATGCGGGCGAATTTCTCCTCGGCCTCCTCCAAAAACTCGAGAAGATTCTGCAACGTCTCGTGGAACTCCATAGCTTTCTCCATCGCGTCGATCAGATTCTCCTCCCGCCTCGCGTACAAAGCGGTCACGTTGTCCCACGCTTGATCCAAATCCTCGATGTGCTTCCTCACCTCCGGCTTGTCCGGCTCCCCGCACAAACCCATCAACTCGTGGCCGGAGGCGCGCACCTGTTCCACGTCCGGCTTCGTCTGATCGATCTCGTGCCTGATCTCCTGCAGGGCGACCTGTTGCTGCTGTATGGCGGCCGGCTGTGCGGCGGGCGGTGCCTGGCCCGCCAGCGCGTCCTGCAACTCTCGCAGAGTGGACATCACCCCGTTCAACTCGGACCAGAATTTCTCCGCGATTTGGAGGGCATCGTCGAGGGTGTGGCTTCGATCGGTGGTCGATTTTTGCACGTCGGCCCACAACTTGTTCAACTTCTCCAACTTTCGTTTGATGTCCTTCACGGCCGGATCGGCCCTGTTCCCGGCCTTGCTTATCACGTCGTCGGCCGCCCTCTTCACGGCCGCGTACGCCTCCGACCTCTGCGCCAACTCGTCGATCAGGGCCGAGTTCTCCTCCATTTGATCCCTCAACCTGCCCGGATGGGCGCTTATCGGCTCGGCCCCGTTCACCTGGTCCGCCGTGGACGAAAGGGCGCGCAGCATTCCCTCCAACTTGTCGGAGAACTGGGACGATTCTTGAAGCGCTTGCTCCAACGTTTGCTGCCTGCTTCGAAGTTCCGCCCTGAGGGCCGCGTACCGGGCCGTGTCCGCTTCCAGGATGTCCTGTATCTTCATACCCTCCTCCTCGTTGCACAACTTTATCAGAGCCTCGCCGGTCTTGTTCAACTTCTCGACCAACGGTTTGTGCTCGTTGATGCTCTGCACCAGGAGCTCGTTCTTGTCCTGCTGGGCGACTATCAGGTCGGGCCTCAGCGCGGGCATGGGAAGCATGGCCACCTGTTGCTCGGCCTCCTCCAACCAGCTCACCAAGCCTACGTGGGTGTCGCGCAGATGCTCGGCCAAGGGCAACGCTTGCTCCAAGGCGCCGAGCCTGTCCGCGGAGAGACCCGACACGATCTCCATCGTCTCCCTAAGGTCCTCCATGTTCTCCCTGATGGTCGACGTGTCCTCGTGCCGGCTGTTCTCCCGGATCACCTTCTTCGCCGTCGAGATCACGTCCCTTACGCGTCCCTTCTGGCTCGAGATATCGTCGTTCAGCGCCTTGTGCTCCTTCAATTGAACCCTGATGATCTCCGGCTCGCTGCTGGGCGGCTCGGCCTCCCTCAACTGATTGTCCACCTCGCGGAACCACTCCAACAGATCGTCTATGTCCCCTATCACCTCGAGGGAGCGTTGCTTGCTCAACTGTATCCTCTCCGCCTTCCGTTGAATCTGCTCGGCAATCGCGTCGAACCTTCTGTTGTCCCTGGTGACCAACGCCTCGATGGTGGCGGCCCCCTCGCCCGGCGACAACTGGGACAACTGGGGGCCCACCGCGTTTATCTTGTCGAGGACGGGCCTGTACTCGGATATCTCCATCTCCAAACGGACGATCTCGTCCTCGCGTGGCTCGGCCGACTGCAGGGCGGACTCGGCCGCCTGCATCCAGTCCATCAACCGATTGTGATTGTCGTGGAACTGCTGGACGAGGGGCAACGACTCCTGGGCGTGTTTCAACAGGTCGGAGCCCCGGCTGACCAGGTCGTTGAACCGCCGTTGCAACGAGTCGAGCTTGTCCTTCAATTGCAACGCCTCGTCGCTCGATATGTGCTTCATCAGCTCGAGGCCGGCGTCCGTCGTCCCGTCGACCTCGGTCTGACGGCTCGACACCTCCTCGGTCAGGTCGGCCAGATCCTCCATCTGCTGGAGAAGCTTCTCAGTGTGCACTGCCAACACCCTGTACTTGGACAATCTCATCTCCATCCCCTCCATCCAGGCTTGAAGCTCCTGGTAGCTGAGCACCAGGTGGCGCAACCCTTGCCTCGAGCGTTGCAGCAAACCGCCGAGAGCCTCGGAACGCTCGACCAACGCCGCGTACCTGTCGGCCGCGTCTTGAAGCTTGTCGGCCAACGCGGCAGCCTCGTCCTCCCCGACCAACGCCATCAGTTGGCTGGCTATCTCGGTGAGCTCGCTGAAGTCGGGCTTCCTCGAGAGGATGTCCTCGTGGAGGCCGTCGTGCTCCGTCACCCGCTGTTGGATCTTCTCCTCGTCGGTCGGCACCAGTTCCATGTCCCTCACCCGTTTCTCCGTCTTGTCCAACCAGATCGAGAGGGGGACCAGCTTGTCCTGGAACTGTTTCGCCACGCCCATCGCTTGCTCCAACGCCTCCATCCTCTCCGCCGCGCTCTCCGTCAGATCGTCGAACCTGCCCACCAATTCCTTCAACTGCTTCTCGATCGTCTTCCGCTCCTTGGGGTCGGCCCCGCCCGCCACCTCCTGGCCCATGTTGTACAACGAGGACATCGAGTTTTGCCTGTCCATCAGCATCTTCCTCAGGAACTTCTGACCCTGTAGCTGCGCCTTGATCACCTTGTAGTCCGAGGAGGGAGGCTTCTGATTCGAAACCATCTCCTCGGTGTCGGCCAACCATTTCTGAAGGCCGTCCAACGCCTCCTGGAACTTGCCCGATTGAAGCAGTCCCACGTCCAACCTACGATCCCGCTCGTTCAGCTTCTCCTTCAGATCGTTCCACCTCTCGTTCATCCTGTCCAAGTCCCTCTCGATGTTGGCCGTGCTCACGTCGCGGCCCGCCGTCTGGATCAACGCTTGCCCGGCCCCGTTGCACTCGTCCACGGAACGCGCCAACGGCTCTATCATCTCCCCCTTCAACACCCTGAAGTCCTCCTGTTGCGCCTTGATCGACTCGACCTCGGAGCCGACCGGCTTCAACCGCCTCACCCGCTCGCTCGCCTCCTCGATCCCTTCCATCGCGCAACCGTGCGCCCTGTGGAACTCTTGCAACTTGTCCAGGGTTGAGGAGAGCTCGTGGTGGCGGTCGCGCGACCGCTCGTCCAACCTGCCCACCTGCCGCTTCAACTGCTCCACCTGTTCCCCGACCGAGGCGCACCCGGCCGCCACGCCGTAGTCGGCCAGCCGCTCGCCCAGCCTCTCCAAACTCGAGACCTCCTCGTAGAGGCGGCCCACCTTGGCCATCGCCCTCCCCGCCTCCTCCATCTGCGCCCTCAACGCCTTCACCTCCCTGCTCGACGCCCTCATCGAGTCCAGCTCCCTCTCGACCAAGGCCACCTGCTGGCCCACGCTCTTCGCCCGCTCGTAGAACTGGCCGACAGCCGAGGCGGCGCTCTCCAACTCCTCGTACCTGGCGTCCAGCCTCGACTTCAGCTCGCTCGCCCGCTCGCCCACCTCCTCGGCCTCGTCTCGAAGGTGGGAGGCGTCCACCTGGCTACCCTCGTTCACGAGCTCCAGGGAGCCGAGGAGGGCCTCCAGGCTCGACCTCACGTTCCCAACCAACCGCTCGTTGCCCACCATCTCCTTGTTCAACGCCTTTATCCTGCCCAACTGCTCCTCCACCTGCTTCGGCTCGGCAGCGGTCGCCTCCGACACGGCCCTGTTCACCCTCGGCTCCATCTCCCTCAGCCAACCCCTGGCCTTCTCCAGCCACTCCCGATAGTCCCTCTGCCTGCCCCCCACCCCGGACAGCTTGTCGGAGAGGAGGTTGGCGCGGGCGAGCAGGTCCTTGTAGCGGGAGGAGACGAGGCCCACCTCGCCCCGGACGGCCGATTCCTCGGAGGGGATCGCCTCCCTGGCGGGCAGCGGTTGGGGGAGGTTGGCGCGAAACTCGTTCAACGCGTGCAGGAACTCCTTCCCCTCGTCCACGAACTTTTGGGCGGCCATCGTGATGAAACGGAGGTCCGCTTGATGGGCTATCACGTCGCTGATGAAGTCGCGCGTCGAATCCGTGCTCGCGTGCAACCGGTTCAGGTCCGACAGCGAGTGCTCCTTCTTCTCGAGAATTCTTCTCGCGCCCTCCAACCAGTGCGAGAACGTCGACAACTCGTTCCTGGGGGGGAGGGGAATTAGTTAATTCTTTTATTAGAGTATCGCGATAGATTATTCTTTATTTACTGTAATCTTGTGTATGGTGTATAGTGAATGTGCTGAATTTTTGTTTTCGACGGGAATAGAAATATTATTTTTGTAAGTAAATTTTATTAAATTTTATTAATTTTATTAAAATTGTTTTTATCCGTTAAAGGAGAGAAGGAAAACGGAGAATGAAAATAATAAATAATAGATATGAGTTTAAGAATACGTTAATTGTTATATAGTTTGTAATATAATTTATTATTAAAATAGGGCGCGAAACAACGATATATAGACTTTAATACTCGACAAAATTTTTTCTCTCTTTATATGTGTAAAGAATACATAAAGTATTTAAACTGTTTGCGCTCGAGGCCTTTTTTGCTCCTAACTTAAAACGATTTTACGCACGAGTTAACGTATAAAAATTTTATATTCTAATATTTTATATATTTATATATTTTTGTATATTTTATTTTATATTTTATTATTATTATATTTATATAGTTTATTATATATTTTTATATATTTGTTTTTAATATTTATCTTTATGTGTGTAGAAAGAAAGAAAATTTGTGAAATATTAAAGTCTATATCGTTGTTTTACATGTGATATTTTAATAATAAAGTAATTACCAAAATGCATCCTCGGTTTGTTAGAGCAAGTATAAATAAAATATCGATAAAATGTCGTTTCGTGTCTTTCACAAATTTCAGTAACGTATTCACGTATAATCTATTATTCTTATTTTCCAGCTTTTCTTATTACGTCTCTATTTTCATCACTATTTTCCCTCTCTCTATCAATTTCTTAACGAATAAGAATAATTTCGTTATTGAATAAAAATATATTATACTTCTATTTTCATTACTATTTTCCCTCTCTCTATCATCAATTTCTTAATAAATAGAAATAATTTCGCTATTTAATAACGAAAAACTGATCTTGAACTAATGGCCCAATAATATGTTCTCACATTCACTGTCTATTATTCTATTTTTTTACTGTCTATTTTTCATACTGCATTTCTATTTTCATCACTATTTTCCCTTTCTTTATCGTCAATTTCTTAACAAATAGAAATAATTTCATTGTTTAATAAAAATATACTATATTTATGTTTTCATCACCTTTCTCTATCATCAATCTCTTAACGAACACAAATAATTTCGTTATTTAATAAAAATTATATATAAATATTACATTTATATTTTCATCACTATTTTCCCTTTCTCTATCATCAATTTCTTAATAAATAGAAATAATTTCATTGTTTATCGCTATTTTCTTTTTCTCTATCATCAATTTCTTAACGAATAGAAATGCTTTCGTTATTTAATAAAAATATATTATATTTATGTTTTCATCACTGTTTTCCCTTTCTCTATCGTCAATTTCTTAATAAATAGAAATAATTTCATTATTTAATAAAAATATATTACATTTATATTTTCATCACTATTTTCCTTTTCTCTATCGTCAATTTTTTTAATAAATAGAAATACTTTTGTTATTTAATAAAAATATACTATGAAAAATATCTCTATTTCATCGCTATTTTCTTTCTCTCTGTCGTCATTCTCTTAATGAATACAAATAATTTCATTGTTTAATAATGAAAAACTCATCTTGAATTAATATCCCAATAACGTATTCTCACATTCACTATCTATTATTATTATATATTATTTTTCATCTTCTTACACTACATCTCTATTTTCATCGTTATTTTCCTTCTCTTAACGAATAAAAATAATTATTCAATAACGAAAAATCATCGTTTACAAAACTGAAAAACTTTAAAAATAATATCTCTATCGCCACTGAGCTTCAAACTCGGACCAACGTCGAAAAATATATCGATCCGCGATATAATTTCAGATAAAAAAAATCTCGACAATACATTATTCCATGCTTTATAAGATCATACCATAAAGAACTTAAAAAAATAGAATCTATTCGCCAAGCGATAGATTTTAAAAAGAATCGAACATGAATAAATAAATATCGTTAAAAATCGCCGCATCGATCCAAGCGGTGGCCTTGAGAGCGCACCAGCTTGGAGCGCTTAAAGCGATCAAAAAAACAAGAGAGAAATCTTCTAATACATAATACAATAACACTAACTTGAATTTGACCAACTCGTCTCTGGCCGCGTTCAACCGTTTCACCATTCTCTCGGTACGATCCGAGGCTTTGTCGAACCTCGTCTTCAAGGAGCGGCCGTTCTTCTCCAACGTGGACACCTCCTCGCTGGACAACACGTTGCCACCCGTCAGAACCACTTGACGGATCTGATCGAGGCAGGAGGAGACTGGCCTCGAATGCGCTTCCAAGTCCACTTTGATCTTCTATATATGTGTATACATACATACATACATACATATATATATATATAAATGCAATAATGAATTTTTGTAATTCGAATCCGAATTCGAACGTTTCGATTCGATCTTACGGACGCTTACGTTCATAGCGGTTATTTGATTTCGAAGCTCCTCGATGTCTTCCTTCGCGTTCTCCTGATTGGCCAACTGCTCCTCCACCTCGGATATCCATTTCAGCAATTTCGAGGACGTTTCGTCGCACAGCTTGTACTTCTCCTCGACCGCTTGCTACGATAATTTGCAACAGAAAAGAAGAGAAAAACTTGCAATTTTCGTAGGCGAATCGCCGTTACAGCGTTGGTTGGTATTTTTATATTCTTTTTAAATTAATCTTAATCTTAACGTGCCCTCGTAACGAACAAATTATTATTATTATTACGAGAAAAGATAACATATATATATATATGTCGTATAAAAACCGCCGTCTTACCTTACGGGCGGTCGGTCTGTGGAGGAACAATGATGGTCAGTCAAAAAGAAAGAGAAAAAAAAAAAAAAAACGAAACGAAACGAAACGAAATAAGCTTATAAAAACAACGTATCTCACGCATGCAAACACATACACACACTTGGAAAACGTAAAACGTAACACGTTATTACATTGAGTATTAAAAATAATAATAATAATAATTATACACGATGGTAAATAAATAAATAAATAAATAAATAAAACACAGTTTTTTTTTTTAGAAGAACCAAGAGATCTGATCGATCTGCAGCGAAATAGTAGTGAATCGAACTGCATATTTTATCCCGTACGTGGTTTTTTCTATGCAGTCTCGAAGCGGACGACAGGACAGAAAATATCGGAAGCCGCGTTCTCGTCTCAATAAGACGCGTCCAACAGAAGCGAAAATAAAATATATAAATATAAATATATATATATTTGGGCGGGGGGGAAAAAAAAGATGAGGGAGAGAAAACAATAATAATAATAATAGTAATAACAAAATGTATCGCGCGAATATATATATAAAAAATGGCAAATGATACGGGGGGATGAGGGGAATGATATATATATATATACGCGCTTATGACACTATATATATACATATATATATATATATATATAGTATATGTTTATATATAAGATATATATATGTACATATATATATATATATGTACGTAATTTGTGTGTAATAAATAAAAAAAAGTGCATCGATGTATACTATATGTTCTTTTTTTCTTTTTTTTTTTTTTCCGAGGTATCGTACTCTACGTGCTTTCAGAGCTTTCCACGCTAGAAACTCGTGCTAGAAAAAAAAACACAGGATCGAGCTTAAAACTGAAACGGAATAATACCTGAAAAAAGTAAAAGTAAAACTTGAGTGTAAATAATCTGACTGATATTAAACAATAACAATAATATAATATATATGTATATATATTATACGGATATTATAATCGAAATTATCAAAAATTATTTAAATTATATTAAAAAAAAAAAAAAAAAAAAAAAAAAAAAAAAAAAAAAAAAAAAAAAAAAAAAAAAAAAAAGTATTACGTTGCGTTATACTCGATGATTGAATGAGGGGATCAATGGAGGGAGGGGGAGGGAGAGGAAGATTATTCATATATAAATATATAAATATATGTATAGCTAGATGATAACCTGTTAAGCATGCGATCACACGTAACACGTGGCTACCGCATTTTCAGAACGACTAGATAATTAACTTTGTTCGATTAATTCGATTTATTCGAGTCGTTTCACGCTTTTCCCGCGATAAGGATATCCCCGAACGAACGAACGAACGAACGAACAAACGAACGAACGAAAGGAAAAACGTGGACAAAAAAAAGGGAGGGGGAAAAAAACGCCATGGTTAAACCAAACGACGTGCAAATTACGATTAAGAAGAACAAGAAAAAAAAAAAAAAAAAAGAAAGAACAAGAAACGTTAAAAAAAAAGTCAATGAATCGAGAGTTAGGCATTAGCCGATGCGATCAGGCGACACGAAAGATCGACGACTGATTATCAATAATACATTTATCGTTGTATTATTCGTATTATTTCGTACGAACACATTTTTTGTTATATTATCGTTCCGTCATTCATCGTTTTATCGATTCGTTTCATTATTACACTCGTATCGTTACTCGTCTCGTTGATCGGTGATCGTTGAGCACCGACTCTCGTTGATTAGTATATACGATATTATATACTAGTTATATTATATAGCCCCCTGTTACGTGACAAAAAAAGTGAGAATATGACGTGCGTCCTATATATATATATATATATATAAAATGATTAATGCGAATGTATGCGTGAACGAACAGGATGATGGGAGGAGCGCCCCACGGACATTTTTTTTCTTTTCTTTTTTTTTTTTACACCAATTTTTCTTTTTTTTCTTTTTTTTATTCGTCATTTCATATTTCGTCTCTTTCGTTACCATTCGTCGGTCACTTCGGTCTTCATTGTTGACATCGTTGTTCGACTATATACATATATATATATATATATATATGATATGTATGTATATGTATGTATATATATATATGTACATTCGTGGTATCGTGGCACGCTCTTTTTTCTTTAAAGGGCACCATGCAAAAGGGACGTGTATCCGATGTATCGAGCAAATATGTTGATGTTGCTGGTTAAACATGGATATGCCGCTGCTGTACAAAGAGATCGCTATCGACAAGATCGTCGATAGTGAGTGAGCGAGTAAGTGAGTGAGTAAGTGAATGAGTGAGTGAATGAGAGAGAGAAAAAGAAAGAAAGTGAGTTTTCGTGAGAGGAGAGTGAGTCCGCGAGATTTTTTCTTCTGTTTTTTTCTAACGTATCGGCTATCGTCGCACACGTAGAGCGATAGACGACGGGATGCATCGAAGCGTTTTCTTTTTTTTCCTTTCTTACGTATAAACAGAGCCATAACCTCTGCGGCAAGCGGTTAAGAGTTAAAGAAAAGAGAGGCGAAGTTATTAAAAATCAAAAAAGAAAAAAAAAAAGAAACATGAAAAAAAACAAAAAGGTGAAAAAACAAAAAATAAACAAAATCTAGGAGAGAGAAAGAGAGAGAGAGAGAGAGAAAAGAAGAAAGACGAGAAAAATAAAAAAGAGAGAAGCGGGAGAAAGCATGGAGAGAAAGAGAGAGAGAGGAAGAATAGGCTAGTGGTAAAAAAGTGGTATAAAGCGTCGCTCGAGATACGACCAAGTAAAAAGTCTGTGTAAAAAAGTAAAAAAAGTAAAGAGGCGGGGACAGAGACAGAGACAGAGATAGAGATAGAGATAGAAGAGGAAGCAAGAAGAAGAAAGTGTGCCACTTACCCTAGCTTCTGCGGTGAGTATATAACCCTGCTCCAGGGCATTCGCGAAGTCAAGCCTCTTTCCCGATGGATCTTCGATAAGCTTGCCCGCTATAGGATCTACTATCCCGGCATTGACCGCCTCTAACAAACTAACGATTTTACCGGCCCCGGGCACTTTGATCACGGTGCTCGTGGGATCTATGGAGGCCGAGTCGATCGCCTGTTTCAACGTGGACAGCGGGGCCGCGGGGCGGAACGGGTCGCGAAATTTACCGGTATCCGCGTGGTAAAGGCCGAACTGTAACGCGTCAATTAGCGAGAAACCGCGGCTCGGGGTGATCAACAGGTCTGCCTCGATCGCCCTCGGCAACGGGTACAGCCTCGACGTCTCCGTCTCCAACACGTTCCCCTTCTCGGCGTCCATCAGCCCCCTCTTGAACGCCTCCGCCAACCGTACCAATCTCCTCCTCCTCGTGTCCTTCACCACTGCCGACTCGGGGTCCACGATACCGAGGCGGACCGCCTCCCCCAACGTGACCCGTTCCCTCGTCCTCGAATCCACCACCCTCCCCTCCCCGTCCAACAATCCTCTCTCGATCGCCTCCTCCAGGCCCAACGGCTGCGCCAGATACACGTCCGCCTCTCCGACGCGGACCAACCTCGCCTGTCCGCCGAACCTCCCCGTCCACGACGGGTCGAGGATCCTCCTTTCCTCCAGCGCATCCCCGATCGCCACGAAGCGGCCGCTCCCAGGATCCCTCACCACGGCCGTCCTCGCGTCCACCAGACCTTTCTCGATCGCCGTCACCAGACTCCACGACACCTCCTCCTCCTCCTCCTCCTCCTCCTCCTCCTCCTGCTCCTCCCCCTCCCCCCTCGTGCCACAACCCACGGCCGAGTATCCTCGGGAGGGGGGCGGCGGGTGGCCTCGAGAGGCGAGAGGCCTGTCCAAAGTGAGCAGAAGGCCGCGCTCGAACGCGACGTCGATCGGGTAGAATCGTTCCGTCCTCGTGTCGAGGACGCGGCATCGGGCCGCGTCGATCGTCCCGTTCTCCATCCCCCTTTCCACGGCCACCAGTTGGCCGGTGATCCCGTCCTTGAGCGCGGTGGTGGCCGGGTCCAGGAGGCCCTTGTCGAACGCCGCGGCCAGGTCGTGGCTCTCGTTGCGGCGGGGATCGATGAACACCCCTCCCGTCTCCTCGCCCCTGTACAAGTCGCAGTTCACGGCCGCCTCGACGGCCAGGGGGAAGTTGGAGGGGACGACGTAGCCCCTTCTCGCGGCCTCCCTCAGATCGATCGGTGGCTCGTCGGAGGGGAGGGCGAGGTATGTGCCGCGGGTGCCGTCCACGAGTTCCGAGGAGAGGGCGAGGGACAGGGGCACGTAGACGTCGCGGCGGGCGTCCCTGACGATGGACGAGTACGGGTCGATCAATTCGGCGTCGCATGCCTCGGCAAGGGTGAGCTTTCGGTTCGTGGTCGGATGACGGAACGAGCCCGTGGCCGGCTCGTAAACGTTGATCGCGATCGCTTGATGGAGGCAGAGGGGGCTCTCGATGTCGACGATCAGGCCCGTCTCGAGGGCCTCGGTCAACGTGACCGCTGCGGCGCCCGTTCCTTGCTCCCTGAACATCCCCGTCCGCCTGTCTATCACCCCCGCCCTGCACGTCTCAGCGAGCGAGAGCAACCTGGCCGCCCTCTTGTCCCAGTAACAGGGGAGGACGGGGCTGACCAGGCAATTCCTCATCGCCTCGTGCAACGTGACCGCCCTCCCCGTGCTCGGGTCCGTTATCTTGCCCGTGCGAGGGTCGTACAACCCCTGGTGGATCGCCCTTTGCAACGAGACGGCAGCCCTGTGATCCACTATCAGCCCGGCCTCGTAAGCCTCGCGTAGCGACATGCTCGAGTCGGCCGTCACCCTAACCCTGCCCGACCAACCGTCTATGTACCCGCTCCTGATCGCCTCGGTCAGGCATATCCTCTCCCGGAAACCGCTCCTCCCGTCCTTCACCGTCACCGAGTCCGCGTCTATCAAGTTCCCCTTCACCGCCTCGACCAGGCTCAGGTAGACCCCTGTCTGGGGGTCCAAGAATTTGTTCGTCCTCTCGTCCAGAATCCCTTTCGAGATCGCCTCGCTGAAGGTCATAGGGCGGCGCGCCTCGAGGAGCAACCCGCGCTCGAGCGCCTCGCGGAAATCGATCGGCTTCCCCTTCTCGTTGGCCACGGTGCCCGTCTTCGGGTCCACTATCAGCTCCTTGATGGCCTTGCTGAACGTGATGGCTCGGCCGTGAGGTTGGCGGACGACCACCGCGGTGCTCGGATCTATGGCGCCAACTTTGATCGCCCTGTCGGTCTGCAACTTCTCGCTCGTCTCGGGCACGATGAAACGTCCCGTGGCCGGCTCGTAAAGCCCTTTGAACACAGCCTCGGGCAGGGATATCTTGCGCTTGGCGGGGACGACCAGGCCCCGTTCCACGGCGTCCGTCAACGAGATTTGGCCGGCCGTGGACGGATCCAGGGCGGTGCCGGTTCTAGGGTCGATCAGGCCTGCCTCTATAGCCTCGCCCAGAGAGATGATCTCGCTGCTCCTAGGGTCCCTTACCGACGGGCTGTCCCTGGCTATCAACCCCTTCTCCAACGCGTCCTCGAGGGTGTAACCGACCCCGTCTATCACGAACAGGCCCCGATCCGGGTCGTAGGTTTGATGGGCCAACGCCTGTTGCAACGACCAAGGCTTGACGGTGCTCAGGATGTAGCCCTTCTCGTACGCCACGTTCAACGTCATCGAGTGGGGAGAGGTGAGGATCCCTCTCTCCAGATCGATCAGTCGCCTCTCCCCGGCCTCCCTCAGGGACAGCACCTCGTCGCTCCTGTCGTCCCTCACCACCGTCGTCCCCCCGTCCACGTAATCCGTGTCCAACGCCTCCCTCAACGTGGTCTCCTCGCCGGTCCTCGGATTCGAGACGAGGCCCGTCCTCGGGCAGTAATACTCTCGCACTATGGCGTCGATCAGGGTGGGCGCGAACCCGCAGGTGGTTATCAAACCTCTGTCGAGGGCTGCGCTCAACGCGAGCGACTCGCCGCTCCTCGTGTCCCGAAGGCGGCCGGTCGAGGAGTCGAACAACCGAGGCTCTCGAAGCGCCTCCTCCAACGACAAGAACGTCCCCGCCTTGCTGTCCCCGCACTCGGTGATCAACGGGTCGATTATACCCCTCCTCACGCTCTCCTCCACGTCTATCAGCTGGTCGGTGAGCAGGTCCCTTATCCTGCCCGTCGCCTCGTCGTACAACCCCTTCCTGATGGCGGCCTCCAACGAGATCGGCTTCCGCGATTCAGGCACGATCAGCCCCTTGACGAACGCCTCCTCGACGTCGATCCTAGCCCCGGATTCCAACACCTCTTGAAGGGAGGAGAGCTCGTCGTTGACCGGGTCCCGGACGTCGATCGAGTTCGGGTCGATCAGGCCGAGTTGGATCGCTTCGTTCAACGGGAAGGTTCGGTCGGTGGCCGGGTCGCGTAGCTGGCGGGTGGACGGGTCGAGGAGGCCGATCTCCACAGCGTCGCGTAGCGTTAACGAGGCTTGCTGGCCGTCGATCGCCGACTTGGGCATCGCAGGCCTTTCCTTTATCAAGCCTGATCTCGCGGCCTCGAAGAACGGTATCCTTTTGCCGGTTTTGGGGTCGACCATGTATCCGAGATTTCGATCGACCAGAGGCTTGGCGATCGCTTCGCGGAGGGACACGTATCTGTCCATCGTTTTGCAAGATAGATCCTTGACGAGAACGTGGTCCGGGTCGAAGATCCCTAGCTCCAACACGAAGTCGTGGAACGAGACGACTTCTCCGGTTTCCGGGTCCACGAACTTCTCCTTGTCGGGATCGTACGCCCCACGAGCGACCAGATCCCCAGACGTCAGATCGGCCGTCACTCGGATCGTCAATCTCTCCTCGGACTCCTCCGATTCCCCGTCTTCTTCCTCGCTCGTCGATTCCTCTCGTTTCTCCGTATCCGGCTCCTTTCCTCTTCGCTCTTCGCCGATATCTTGTTTCTCTTCCACTTTGGACAGTTTGGGTTCTTTCTTGCTGTCTACTAGGATTTCGTCCATATCCAGTTTCGAGGTAAATTGTTCCTTCGTTTCTTCCAGCTTAGAGACGGATTTCTCCTTTTCTAATTGTTCATTGTCGAAGCTTATTTCTGATTGGTTTTTGATCAGTTCTTTGTCAATGTCTAGTTTTGATACAGTTTCTCTGGCAACATCCATTTTTGATATGAAATCCTTCTTGCTTTCTATCAATTCTTTGTCAATGTCTAGTTTTGATACAGTTTCAACAAACTCCTTCTTGCTCTTTATCAGTTCTTCTTTGTCTAGTTCTAGTTTTGATGCAGATCCCTTCTTCGTTTCCACTCGTTCTTTGGGAATATCCACAAATTCTTTCTTGCTATCTAGGTCCATTTCTGATACAAATTCTTTCTTGCTCTCTATCAGTTCTTTGTCAGTATCTAGTTTTGGTACAGATTCCTTTTTACTCTCTATCAGTTGTTTGTCAATGTCTATTTTGGATACAGATTCTCTGGTAAGATCCATTTCTGATACAAATTCCTCCTTGCTCTCTATCAATTCTTCTTTGTCTAGTTCTAGTTTTGATATAGATTCTCTGGTAACATCCATTTCTAATACAAATTCCTTCTTGCTCTCTATCAGTTCTTCTTTGTCTAGTTCTAGTTTTGATATAGATTCTCTGGTAACGTCCATTTTTGATACAAATTCCTTCTTGCCCTCTATCAGATCTTTGTCAATGTCTATTTTAGATACAGATTCCTTCTTTGTTTCCACTTGTTCTCTGGCAACATCCACAAATTCTTTCTTGCTATCTATGTCCATTTCTGATACAAATTCCTTTTTACTTTCTATTAATTCTTTGTCAATGTCTAGTTTTGATACAGACTTTCTGGTAACATCCATTTCTGATACAAACTCCTTCTTGCTCTCTATTAGTTCTTTGTCTAATTTTGATACAAATTCCTTCTTGCTGTCTATCAGTTCTTTGTCAATGTTTAATTTTGGTACAGATTCTCTGGTAAGATTCATTTCTGATATAGATTCCTTCTTGCTCTCTATCAGTTCTTTGTCTATTGTTGATACAGTTTCTCTAGCAACATCCATTTCTGATACAAATTCTTTCTTGCTCTCTATCAGTTCTTTGTCAACATCCACTTTTGATACAAATTCCTTCTTGATATCTATGTCTATTTCTGATACAAATTCCTTCTTGCTCTCTCTCAGTTCTTTGTCAATGTCTAGTGTTGATACAGTTTCTCTAGCAACATCCATTTCTGATATAAATTCCTTCTTGCTCTCTGTCAGTTTTTTGTCAATATCTACTTTTGATACAGATTCCTTCTTTGTTTCCACTTGTTCTCTGTCAACATCCACTTTTGGTACAAATTCCTTCTTGATATCTATGTCCATTTCTGATACAAATTCCTTCTTGCTCTCTATCAATTCTTTGTCAATGTCTATTTTAGATACAGATTCTCTGGATTCTTTGTCTATGTCTGGTTTTGATACAGATTCTTTCTTCGTTTCTACTCGTTCTTTGTTAATATCCATCTCAGATTCTTTCTTGTGTTCTACTTGTTTTTCGTCACCAGCTAGTTTGGATACAGGTTCTTTCTTCGGTTCTGCTTGTTCAGCATCAATTTTAGATACCGGTTCTTTCTTGCTCTCCACCTGTTTTTCGTCTACATCTACTTTTGGCACAGGTTCCTTCTTCGGTTCTGCTTGTTTTAAATCATCTTTTGATACGGGTTCTTTCTTCCTCTCCACCTGTTCTCTGTCTACATCCATTTTTAGTTCAGGTTCCTTTTTCGATTCCACGGGTTCTTTCTTCCTTTCCACTTCTTCTCTGTCTACATCCATTTCTGATACGAGTTTCTTGTCCGGTTCTACTTGTTCCGCATCACCTTTTGATACAGGTTCTTTCTTCCTCTCCAATTCCTCCCTGTCTACATTTATTTTTAATTCAGGTTCCTTTTTCGATTCTACTCGTTTTAAATCATCTTTTGACATAGGTTCTTTCTTTCTCTCCATTTGTTCTCTGTCTACATCCATTTTTAGTTCAGGTTCCTTTTTCGATTCTACGGTTTCTTTCTTCCTCTCCAGTTCCTCTCTGTCTACATCCATTTTTATTTCAGATTCCTTTTTCGGTTCTACTTGTTTTACGTCATCTTTTGACATAGGTTCTTTCTTCCTCTCCACTTCCTCCCTGTCTACATCCATTTTTAGTTCAGATTCCTTTTTCGGTTCTGCTTGTTTTAAATCATCTTTTGACGTAGGTTCCTTCTTTCTCTCCATTTGTTCTCTGTCTACATCCATTTTTAGTTCAGATTCCTTTTTCGATTCTACGGGTTCTTTCTTCCTCTCCAGTTTTTCTCCGTCTACATCCACTTTTAATTCAGGTTCTACTCGTTCAACTTTCGTTACAGATTCTATTTTACTCCCCGCCCGTTCCTTCTCCATATCCACTTTCGACACGACTTCTTTCTTCGACTCTACCCGTTCTCCGTCGATATCCATTTTAGTTTCCTTCTCCCTTTCCACTCCTTCTTCGACGACACCCATCTCTTGTACAGCTTCCTTCATCGCTCCCTGTCCACGAGCCGGAGTCTTCTTCCCCCTCGATTCCTCGGCTTCGTCCACCCTCGAAGACCCCTTCCTCGCCGCCTTTTCCTCTTCCTCCCCAACCCGTTCCTTCTCCCCTCCATCTCTCCTCGCCAAGGCGTCGTACACCGCTTTTCCAGCAAGAACCGGCGCGGCGACCACCGCCAACAGCCCCAATTTCGCCGCTTGCTTCAACGACACCGCGCCACCCCCTCGATCCTCCCTCGTCCTCCCCGTGACGGGGTCGATCATCCCCCTCTCCACCGCCTCCCTCGCCGTCACCGTGCCCGCTGTCCCCGTGTCGTAGATCACCGTGTCCGGATCCACCAGTCCCACCTCCATCGCCTCGCTGAGCGTGTACGACTCCCTCGTCTCTGGATCCAAAAACCTCTCCGTCCCCTCGTCGTACACCCGGTCGATCCTTTCCACCCTCCTCGACGACCCCTCCTCCAACAACCCGCTCTCGATCGCCCGTCCAATAGGCATCGAGCGCCCCGTCGACGGATCGGTGTAAGTGCCCTCCCTCATGTCGAGCAAACCTCTCTCGAACGCGCGGTCGAGCGTCGTCCTCACGTCCTTGGTCGTGAAACGCTCCCTCCTCGCCGACCCCTCGTCCCTCACGATCCCCATCCCTCGAGCCTCCTCGATCCCCATAACGTCCCCCGTCTCCACGTTCCTCACCTCGTCCCCGCTCGCCAACTCGTAACCCGGCGAGATCACCACGGTTTTCCTGGTCACCGTGTGATAACGCGTCACCGTCTCCGTCACCCCCTTCGACGTCCTCGTCACCGTGGCCGGCTTCACGATCAACAAACCCGACTCGATGGCTGTGGCCAGGCTGACAGGCGTACCAGTCGTCGGATGTACGTACACCCCTTTCTCTCGATCGATCAGCCCAGCCTCCAACGCTTTGGTCACCTCCATGCTGTCCGAGGTGACGGGACAGGGTAACGACATTATGAAGTTTCCTCTTATAGCCTCTTCCAGGGGTAGGCGTTCCTCCGTGATGGGGTGTCGTATCTCCTTGCCCGAGGCGTCGATCAAACCTCGCTCGAGGGCTACGGCGAACGTCATCCCAGCTGGGGGGATGATCCTCCTCTGTCGGCGAGGATCCTCTTTGGGAGAGTCTGCGAACACGGAGCGGCTCTCCACAGCTTTGACCAGGCCCACGCTGCCCCCTTCCCTCGTCTTTATCAATGATCTGTCGGGGTCGACGAGGTCGCTCTCGATGGCGCCGCGCAAGGTCTCCACGCGCCCGTCGGAGCAGGTCAGCTCGGACAACGGGTCGACTATCTCGCAGAGGATCGCCTCGCCGAGGGTGAGGCGGGCGCCCGTCTCCGGATGGACAACTTTCCCCTCCCTGGGGTCGAGCAGGCCTTGCTGGTAGAGGCCGGGGATCGACAAACTTTTCGCCAACGGTACGAGAACGTCGCCGCTCACGGGGTCCAGGACACCGCGCTCCACGGCCTCGCCAATGGTGAGAACGTCCCCCCTCTGCGGGTCGATTATCCGTCCCCGGCGAGCGTCTATTCGGTTGCTTCGAATGGCGTCGGACAGAGAGGAAACTGGTTTACCGTCTGCGGTAATGATAGATTCTTTGCTCAAGATCTCGGCCGTCTCCTCGTCGATGAATCCAGTCTCGAGTGCCTCTCTCGTCTTCATCACTCTCTTCCTCATTTTCTGAAGGACGATATCGGTTTCCGTTTCGAGTTCCGTCTCGGGCGATGGCCGCTGGACGACGATGGCGTTGGTGGCGTATTGAAACTTCAAGTCACCCTCCAATTCCTCCTCCGTCCTCGAGACGGAGGGCTCCTCGCTCGCTGCTGTGGGGGAAAAATCGGTGGCTGAATCGACGACCGAGGTGGAGCCGATCGCCGAATCCGATTCCGAGATCGAGACGGAGGCGGGCGGTTTACCGGTCACGGAAATTTCTTCCTGATCGACGGGAGATAACGCTTGCTCCCTCGCGATTCGTTCCGCCTCCGTCCTGTAGGCGGGGACACCGTGGTCTTTGGTGGGCGTGGTCGACGAAGCGATCGGGACGAGAGGCGTGCCAATCACGCTCACTATACCGAATTTCGCAGCGTCGAGGAGGGATATCTTTCTACGTTTGTCCAAGTTGTAACGCGCCGTGTCCGAATCCACGATTCCACGCTGCACAGCTTCGGTTATGCAAACGTCCCTCCCCGTGGCGGGATCTTTAACTAGGACCAACTCGGGCGGTAGAGTGCCGTCGGACAAAGCTTGAAGCAACTCGGTCGATCTTCCGCTCTCCGTCGATATGACGAGCGCAGTGCTAGGATCGTAGATCAGGCCTCGGGAAACTCTGACCGGGTCGGGTATGGAGTGGCCCGCCTCGGAGATTTTTATCTCGAATCGTTTGGACGGGTCGTCAGATCGGGTCACCTCCAGTTTGTCCGGTTCGCCGACTACTTTCGTGATTCGTAGAAGCCTGTGTTGCGACGAGGTGTTCTCGTCGTACTTCGTCTCCGTCTCCGTTCGGTTGCCGTCGTCGAGAACGATCAATCCTTGGTCGATCGCCTCCTTCATCGTGATCTTTCGCGGGCTCGTGTAATGGCCGGTCGAGTCGAGGATGCTCTTCTCCAAACTTCGTAGAAGGGAAACTTTTCTCCCGTTGCTCGGATCGATCACGAGGCTCGAGTTGGGATCGATTATCCGTAACTTGACGCACTCCTCGAACGAGACTAGCCTGTCCGTGCCTGGTATTATGAACAGGCCTGTGGTCGGGTCGAACAATTTTCTCTCGATCGCCTCGGACAGGGACCAACCGTCGGTGGGCAATTCGAACACTCGTTTCTCGGTCGTCGACCAACCCCCACCCGCTCCGTCCTCCTCCTTCGCGAACTCGTTCGCCACGCTCGTGTCCTGATCTTGATCCGGATCCTTGCGCTCGAGTACCCACCCCGAGAAGGAGCCTCCTGACGACGAGTCAATCGGTTCGTTCGTCCTCGTTCTCGCGTCCCTCGAGACCACGCGATCTTTGGCGATAATGGTGGTGGTCGTGCCTATCGCTCTTGGAACGTCGTCGTCGAAGGAAACCGCGTTATCGACCACATCCGTATCGTCCATTCTACCCCTCTCCTCCCGAATTTCCTTCCTTCTCGTCTGCGTGGTGACGGTGATGTTCAAAAGACCGGTGAGCAACGCAGCGCCATCGGGAGTGATGAGGCCCCTCTTGATGGCGTCCTCGAGAGGTATCGGTCTCCTGCCGCGGCTACGATCCAACAACATCCCCGTCCTCGGGTCGATCGACTCGGAGAGAATCGCCTCGAGCAGCGTCATCTCTCTACCCTCCCTCGCCATCCCGATCCCCCGGTTCAGCATCTCGGACACTTCGGGCCGGACGTAGCCCCGCTCCTCGGCCTCCGCCAACGAGATCGACGTCCCGCTGCCCGGATCCACCGCGTAGACACCGCCACCCGACTCCGACCGGATCAAACCTTTGAGCAGCGCTGCGTTCAAGCTCACGTATTCCCCGCTCGACGGATCCTTGAACCCGTCCACGTCGAATATCGTTCTGCGAACGAGCGACACGATCCGCCCTCTCTCCACGGCCTCCGAGACACTAGTCTCCTCGTTGGTGCTCGCGTCCACGTACGTCCCCCTTCCAGCATCGATCAGGCCGCGCCTCACAGCCTCGGCCAACGTCACCATCTCGCCGGTCCTCGTATCCGTGACGGATCTCAACCGATCCTCGTCGAGGATCCCCACCCGCATCGCCTCCATCAGGGACAACTTTAACCCGCGCTTGCTCGGGCTCGCGACGCTGCTCCCCCTTTCGTCCATCATCCCCGCGTCGTGGCAATCTTTCAAGGTCATAGGCTCGGCTATTAGGCGCGACTTACGCGCCTCCTTCAGCGACATAGAGCTCCTCCTCCTCTTCCTCCCCTCTCTCTCCACTGTCACGTATTTCCCGCTCCTCGAATCGATCGTGCCCAGGTGGAGGGCTTCGCGTAGGGTGATCTTGTCGTTCCCTGTCCTCGGGTCGACGATCTCCTTCACGGTCGGATCCAGGATCCCCTTCTCGACGGCCTCGTCGAGGGTGTGGTACTCGCCCGTGATCCTATCCAGGACACGGCCCGCCTCGTCCACCAGGCCGTGGTTTATCGCGTCGGAGAGGGTGAACGCGCCCCCCCTCTTCACCGTCACGGTCACGTCTAACTTGGCCAGGTAGCCCCTCGCGTGGGCCTCCTCGACCGACAGCCTCTCGCCGCCCTCGGTAACGAGCTCGCCCGTGCGCGGATCCAAAGCCGCCTCTCCCAACCTGCCTACGTCCTCGTCGTCGTGTTTGTCCCCGTCTCTGTCGTCGCGGTCGTCGTCGTGCTCCTCCCTCATCATCGCATCGGCTACGCTAACCGCGCTAACCTCATCGGCCGCCGCCGGTCTACTCCCTCCTCCTCCACCACACTCTCTGTAGTAAGTTACCTTCGCTCTATCTCCCGCAACACCGTCCGCTTTCTCGGCGTCGAACAGCTCCCGCTGGATCGCCCCGAGCAGAGACACCGGCCGTCCCTCCTCGTCGTATCCGCACGGACCTAGGAGACGGTCGGCGAGACGCGTCTCGATCATCTTCTCGCGCGCCGCTTCCTCTATAGTGACGGAAGTGCTTTTCCCGTCCCTCGAGCACGTTATCCTACCCCTCCTAACGTCCAAGATCCTAAGGTTTATCGCCTCGCCCACGGTCAACAGTTGCCCGGTACGTGGATCTACGATACCCCTAGCATCGATTACGTTCTCTCTACCTACGCCCTCTTCCGCCCTCTCTAAGCTCCTCTTTAAACTCCTAATCTCGCTAGAACGCTCGCTGGTAGTGGCGTCGACGAGGCTCGATGACGTCATCGTCCTCCTCCTCTTCTCCTTCTCCTCCTTCTCCTCCAGTTTTCGAGACGATTTTTCTTCGACCTCGATCTCCCGGGTCGGCGTCCCGCCATCCTGACCGATAGATCCGCTTCCACTCTCCAGGCGAGCGCTCTCCTGGGAACTGGAGCGTCGTACAGCGTCGCTGGACGAGACGATGGTCTCGCTCCTCTCGCTTATCTCCCTCCTCTCAGTGCGCTCAGTCCTCTCGTGTCGTTCCAGGCTGTACCTGTGGAACGTGGTAATATAGTAGCAGGCGTGGATTCGAGACGGAATCGCGTTTCGAATTACGTTTCGAACGCGCCCGTTACGCCATTCTTCTCGTGACGATTTGTGCACGAGATATTACTCACTGCGATTGTGTGTAGTGGGTGGTCGTGGAGGTGTAACGTTCCTCGCAGCTGCTGTTCTCGTATATGTTGAACTCGGTGCGGAACGTCCTCAGCGGCCTCTGCTCCTGGAGAGCGCGCTGGAAAACGAGGACGAGAAACGTGAGACGATCGGGTGTCTCCTCCGATTACGAGAGGGAAAGGAGAGGGGAAAAAAGAAAATATTCGTCGCGAGTTTAAATTTAAATTGGATTGCCGTAACGTTTCGCAATTGGGAGGAGGAAGGAGAATTTTCAAAATTACCGCGCTCACTATCCTCTTACTGAGCGTCATCGTGAACGCTTCCGTTCCCCGGGTACGGAAAGTAGAGAGAGAACGAAAGTCGAATTCGCGCAACGAGAGCGTACGAAACTGTCCACCACTCGCGAAACTCTCTAGTACAGAAGAAACTGTGTGTCAGGGCTGCACCTCGTCCCCGTGCGTGCACTTTCGCGAAAAAAACATTGTTGGCGAGGAACGATGACGTTCGAGAGGCGCCGGTTTAATCACCGCGACTATCTCCGCCCGACTGACTCAACTGCCCCCGGTTGGCAAGCAGCCGACCGCCTCGTAAACTCGGGAAACGAGTAAAGGCATCCGTTTGTGAAAAAGCCAGATTCTTTTTTTAGAAACGCGACCGATCGCTCTTTACCGGCCGAGAGAAGAACGCGTACGCCTCGCAGCGGTTAACCGCCGTGCAGAAGCGTTTTCTTCTTATTCTTCTTCTTCTTCTTTTTCTTCTCTCTTTTCTCGATCTCGAATGGAACGCGCGGAGAAATTCACTTCTCGTCCCCTCCCCACTCGAGCAAATTCATAATACGCAGCGATATCGAAGCGAAGCATCTTTAATAAGGTAAAATTAAAGGATCACGTAATCGACGAGCAACGTGTGTAAACGCGACACGTGTTCCGACCGATCCCGTGCACGTGACTATACTCGTCGACACAGAAGGAAAAAAAAACTGTATTCGCGGAGACCGATTTCTCCTCCATTCCCCCCCTCCACCTCTCCCCCTTCCTCCCACCACTCCGTGTAACGAACTTCAACCGAACGCGACCAGTCGACCGTCCCAATTTTTCCGTCCACACGGAATACTTCGTACCTTTCGTACGATCTTTATCGTGGGCATGGCGGACGTGCTCCTCGTAGTGTCCACGCGCATCTCGTCCGACAATCGTTAAAGCAGGAAGGGCCACAGCCAGGGAGGCCAGTTTCGATTTCTTCGTAGATTATGGAATGGAAAACGCCCGGCGATAATACGCCGGCAGCCTGATACGTGTCTCTGCGACACCGCGAAAGCGCAATAAAGCGAAATGCGATAACTAGCGCCAGCTGTGCGAGCGTTAGGCTCACTATGCGCCGTCGCTCGTTCGCGCTTAACGAGCCACTCTAGTCGGACACGCTCGCGTATCGATCGCCGACGGCCGAGGAGGCGGGAAGGATGAAACTTCCCCGCTTGTTTGCGCATTATTCCAAAGGCGAACCAGTTTTATTATGCGTAAGTATGTCGCGTGGGCGAGACTCGAGATATAATACGTATCGAAGAAGGACACGGGGACTCGGTCACTGCCAATTTTGTCCGTGTTGACAATTAGCGAATCGGGACGATTAACATTTTACGGGTCGGCTATTATGCCCCGTGGCAAGGTCGCAGTCGTAATAGCACAGCCGCGAACCGTGCGTTATTTATTCCAAATCGGTTAATTATTCAGAGTCACGTGCAAGAATAAACTTCTGTTTTACGTCTATATTTATCTATACTAGGTCGCGTTCGTTATTCTTATTTCTTATCTCTTGATCTCTCTCGTTAAAAAATATATATATATATATATATGATTACATAAAAAAAAAAATTATACGTATTAAATTTATCTTTAAAATTGTGTTATCGGTAAGAACTGGAGCGTTAAAAGATAAAACTTCGTTTCCTCGAACTCAGCGTTTTCCTAAGAAAATCGTGCGATTTGCAAACCGGTAATAACGAGAGAAATAAAAAGAAAAATGTGTAGAGATTAATATATCGATGACATATATCGTAATAAGAAGAATCGAGAAGAAAAACACGTTACCTGTAGAGACGTGTCCTCGGGGTATTGCGTTGCCAGCTGTCTAACCCGATCCTGAAGTATATTGACAAGCGTGGTGTATCTTCTGTTGAGGGTATCTAGATCACGCGCGATGTCGTCCACCGTCGAGACGAACTCTCGACGAGGCTTTTTCACCGAAGCATCCAAAGACGGGCAGATATCTTCCAATTGTTCCTTGAACGCTCGAAGCCTTTGTCCGTAGATCTAAGGGTTTCGGTTAGCCCGTTACGGTTAGTAGATAGTATTAGAATCTCGCCTGTGCGCTGATGCTCTCTACCCTTCTATCCCCTTAGCAATCCCTAGTACCATCGTGTCCTAAGGGACCCGTCAGTCTTGAAGCAAGCCAACGAGGAACTGTGTAGCGTGTCGAGATGAACCGATCGCGGGGGAGGGGGGGAGGCGATCTCATAGCGATTTTCAAGCGGCTCGCGGCTCCGGTTAATTCGGAACATGGGAAAGCTATTGCGACAAGCCTGAACATAGTCAGCGTGTATCGTGTCGCGAGCCAAGCGTAACAACGACGTTACTTTCTTTCTACTTTACATTACATTGCATCACGTGCTAGATTTACAGGATTTCGTAGGGTCGAACCGCATCGGTTAACCTTCGGTTATTTTATTGACAAAAGGAGGCGAAGGAGGAGGAGGAGGAGAAGGAGAAAATGTGCAACACGGAACGGGGAAAAACGAAAATTAAATTTTTAGCGGAATGCTAAATAGCGAGGTTAGCCGAGCCAGCGATCTCAAACGTTTCCTCTACGACTTGGCTATATTTTAAAAATTGTTTTTCCACCTTTCTCTATGATAAAAAGCGTACGAAAAAAAAGCCTCGTATGCGCACAGCGTTGGCTGTAACGGCGAGGAAAGGTTGTTTAAAGCGGTTCTTTCGATTTACAGATGCGGAAGCGAGAGAAAGGCTCGAGATGCATCCTTGATCCCTGGAAACACAAGTGAGAGAAAACTCGAGAAATGTGTGAATATCGTCGTTTCCTCTTCGCCGAGATGGAATCAAGGCGGCGAAGAATGAATCGTAACGGGCCTCTGACTCTCGTTGGCCGTACGTATCTGATGCGAATTATCCGCCGTGTATTAAGCCCGTGTAGAACCCAACCGCTTGAAAAGGTTGCGATTGATGCCGGCTGCTAGGTAGGTAGGTAGAATCCATCCGGTAGATAGCGATAGCGGCGACAGTGACACAACGGTAGCGTACGCTTTTTTCCTAGCGATTTGCGGCTTGATGATAATTTTTGCGCCACGATGATGACACATAGAGGGCGTCCTCACAAAGGCGGGGAAAACGTCGATGTCGTCGATGTACACATCTTCACGTAGAGTATGGTGTGTGTGTGTGTGTATATATATATATATATATATATATATATATATATATNATATATATATGTATATATGTACGTATAGCTTTTTCAGGATATACAGAAACGAATCGGACAAAAGATGAAGGTTGGGATGGCCGCGACGCGACTAGACCGACTTAACGCGTTAACGTGTTCTTCTAAAGAGGGCTGTAATACTTGATAAAAAAAAAAAAAAAAAAGAGGACTCACGCAATATACCATTCACGCAAGCGTTCATACCGTAAGCTAACAGGCTACCTAAAGGCTACCTAAATGCTAGCTAAGCCTACCTAAGGCTTGCGAATAAATATATATATATATATACCCATTCGCGATCGTGTTATCGCGTCTCATCTTACCTTTCCTTCGCGAATCAATCGACCTCCCGTCACATTTACCGCTTCGATCGCAGGTGCTCGTTCCACCACTCTGTTCAACAGGTTCTGGACAGAGAGATAGAGAGGAAAAAATAGAGAGAGACGAACTAGAGAAGAAAAGAAAAAAAATAAGAGAAAGAGGAAAGAAGAAACGTTACCTTCGCGTTCTCCATCTCGAGTCTGTTGTACGACTCGTCGACGAAATCGACCTCGTTTCTGTAAGAGTGCTCCAATTGCTGGGCCAACGCGTAAGCTGTTTCCGCGCTACGAAGCCTGTCCACCAGTTGGCCGCAGATGTTGGTCCACCTGGAATTCAGCCTGTTCACCTCGTCGTCCAAGCGGTCCACGTCCGAGTGAGGGCCACGATGGCTCCCTCTCGACTTCTCGACCAGCCGTCTAGCGTTGTGCGCGTCCTCGTTCAGCTGATCCATCGCTGTCTGCTGTTGGGCGATGGCGTTCTGAAGCACCATCAAATCCTCCAACACGTTTTGCAATCCCTTTATATCCGAGGGGAGCTCGTCGAACGAGGCCAGCTTCACCTCGATCTCGGATATAGCCGTAGTATTCTCCTCGAGCCTCGAGAGCACTATCTCCACGCACTTCAATCGCTCGATGTACAGATTGCTCGAGTTCCAGATCTGGGTCCACTTGGTGGTCACGGCGTCCAGTTTGTTCCTCATCGCGGGCGTCTTCAAGGTGATACCGCGGAATGTTTGCTGAACCCTGTCGAGATCGGGGGCCAACCGTCTCAGGCTTTGCTCGAAGTCTTTGTGCTGCAACACCAGGTGTTCCAGGGTGTCCATGTCCCTGGGCAACGGAGCCGCCACCCGGTTGTTCAAGAGCCTCTCCGCCTCGTCCAGGGATTGTTGAAGGGTGGAGATCTGCTCGTTGAAGATGCGCCCGGCGTTCTTCGACTCCTCTTCCGCCCTCGCGCGTTTCTCCAGGTCGTCGAACAGCTTGTTCACCTCTGCCATCTCCCTCTTCAACCGTCTCAATTGGGGGTCGGCCGGGTCCCCCTCGGACAACAATTTCTCCGCGTCCTCGTTCAACGCCTTCCTGATTGCTGTCCTTTGATCCTGACCCATCGCCAAGAACTGAGGCAAATCCCAACCTTTCACCACTTTGATGGTAGCGAATATCATGTTTTGCCGCAGCCGTAGCTGCTTCCGTTGCCACAACGCGATGCTCCTGTCGTACTGCCGCCGCAGTCTTTCCGCTGCGTCGAGGGCGTCCTTGTCCGGCGGTTGGAGAGCGAAGCAAACGCCTGGCACGGGCGTCTCGATCCCCTCCTGATTCTTCACTCGCCACTTTATTCTGCCAGAGTTGTCGTACAGCGTGCACTGCTCGCCCTTCTCGATCGACATCTGAAAATAATTCGGTCCAATTTTCCATTTTTGTCTCGAGATGAAGATCGACTCGATCGACAGAGCTGATACTCACGTTAACCTGTTTGTAACTGCACACGCATGCGACTTGCATGGGCCGCGTCACGGGCTGCCTCCGCTGCTTCATAGGGACCACGTCCTTGGCCTGGTCGACCAGCTTTTGCACGTGGTCCCCGTAACCGTTCAACTCCTCCCGCAATTCTTGCATACCTTTCAACAATCGTTCCCCCTCGTCCAACGAGAAATCAGATTGGGAATAAATGGTGTTCAGAGTCTCGTCCCTCTTCGAGATCCACTGCTCCGCTTGTTGGATATCGCGGAAGAATTGCTGGCTCTGGGCAGCGTGCTTCAAGTGGACCTCCAGGCAAAGGGTCAATTGAAGAAGCCAGGCCCATTGGCTCTGCATCGCGGACATATAGGCCTCGATAGTTTTGGCGGCAGGATGGTGTTGAAGGACCAAAGCCTCGCCCCGGTCCTGCACCGCTGAGAACTGGATCTCTCGCTTCTCCAGGTCGCTCATCAGGGACTGTGGAAAAAAGAGAAACGATGAACTCGAACGTGTTCCAATTTTAAATTTATAGTTTATAGTTTCTTTGTTATTTTTTCTTTATACCTCTATACCGGATCCAAACGTACGCTTTGCACGAGGAAAAAAGGGAAAGATTAGCGATTTCGAGTAAGGACGAGAGAGAGAGAAAAAAAAGGAGCTTTTTCATGATAATTAAAATATATTAATTAAAATGTATACCTCGTAATACTGTTCGATGCTCTGCACGTTCAAATTCTTGTCGCTCCAGTCGCGCGTCACTTCCGTCTCCTCCTTGGAGCTCAACCAGACCAACTCGCCTGTGGCCGATTGTATGAAATCGAGAAGCGTGTCGAGGTCGGAGAGCCTCTTGTTCGAGGCGGCCAACAACTCGGTGTAAAGTTTCTGAAGCACGGCCAAATGTTGGCTGTACAAGGTCGACTCCTCGCCGTGGAAATGACTCTTTGCCTGCACGCATCTGTCAACCTTGGGATGGAATTGCTCTATGTTCTTGTGCTCCTTCTGATGGACGTCCAATTCGTTCTGCACGCTCGGCAAGTCGGACCCGTAATCAGCGTCCTGGAGCTGCTTGATCTTCGCCTTGCACCAGTCGATGCAATCGTGCAACGAACGGAAGTGCGGATTCGTGTCGACCAGCCGGGTCTCGTGCACGGTGGTGCGGTGTTTCGTGACCACGCGTTCCTCGACCGGGAACGAAACGGCCGAAAGCGGCTGTACCAAACGTTTGTGAAGAAGAGATCGCAACGCGACCCACCGTTGATGTAGCTTTTGAACCCTGCAATATATAGGGATAGGATTAACGAAAAAGAAGAAAAAAAGAAAGAAAGAAAGAAAGAAAGAAAGAAACTTTTGGACTTTCTTAACTCAAAAAGACTTATATTATTATTATATTATTGTAACATATTATTTTATTATATTCATCTTGTGTATCTTTGCGTGTGAAGAAAGAAAATTTGTCGAATATTAATTCTTTGCTCTCCAAGTGAATTTCAAAATGATTTTTATTATATTATTTATATTATATTATATTATTGTAATATATTATTTTATTATATTCATATATGTTTGCATGTGAAGGAAGAAAATTTGTCAAATATTAACCCTTTGCTCTCCAAGTGAATTTCTTAATTTAAAACAATTTATATTATATATGTGTATCTTTGCATGTGAAGAAAGATTTGTCGAATATTGACCCTTTGCTTTCCAAGTGAATTTCTTAACTCAAAACAATTTATATTATTGTAATATATTATTTTATTATATATGTGTATCTTTGCATGTGAAGAAAGATTTGTCGAATATTAACTCTTTGCTCTCCAAGTGAATTTCTTAATTTAAAACAATTTATATTATTTTATTATATATGTGTATCTTTGCATGTAAAGAAAGATTTGTCGAATATTAACCCTTTGCTCTTCAAGTGAATTTCTTAACTCAAAACAATTTATATTATTTTATTATATTTGTGTATCTTTGCATGTGAAGAAAGAAAATTTGTCAAATATTATTAACCCTTTGCTCTCCAAGTCAATTTCTTAACTCAAAACAATTTATATTATATTAACCCTCTTCAAGTGAATTTCTTAACTCAAAACAATTTATATTATTTTATTATATTTGTGTATCTTTGCATGTAAAGAAAGATTTGTCGAATATTAACCCTTTGCTCTCCAAGTGAATTTCTTAACTCAAAACAATTTATATTATTTTATTATATATGTGTATCTTTGTAAAGAAAGATTTGTCGAATATTAACCCTTTGCTTTTCAAGTGAATTTCTTAACTCAAAATAATTTATATTATTGTTATATTATTGTAATATATTATTTTATTATATTCATGTATGTTTGCATGTGAAGAAAGAAAATTTGTCAAATATTAATCCTTTGCTCTCCAAGTGAATTTCTTAACTCAAAATAATTTATATTATTTTATTATATATGTGTATCTTTCCATGTAAAGAAAGATTTGTCGAATATTAACCCTTTGCTCTCCAACGATGACTCTCCACCATTGAGATTGATGCGGCAACTTGAACGGCGACAATATTTATTTTGATTATGATTTTATTATATTTGATATTTGATATTTTATTAATATTTGATATTATTATTTTATTATATTTGATATTGATATGTTTGATTTTTTTTGGAATATCGCTTCATAAATAGATTTCTAAGCTCTTTAAGTAATAATCTTATGAGACCACTGAACACGCGGGTCTAAGTCTGAAGTCGCTGGTGCGAAACAGGCCTGGAATGCAAAGGGTTAAAGTCTAAATATCGTTTCGCGCGATATTTTAACAATAATTAAATTATTCTTATTTTTCACCTTCTACATCTCTGTTTTCATCCCTATTTTCCTTCTCTCTTAACGAATAGAAGTAATTTCGTTATTCAATAACGAAAAATCATTGCTTACAAAACTTTGACAATAATATTAAAGAAAACTTTACATAAGATTACACTTGAAGAGGTTAAAAGAACCTATTTTAAAAAATATCAAACACAAATAAATACATTGGTGGGCGAGAGTCGCCAGCATTGGAGCGCAAAGGGTTAAAATCAAAGAAGAAGAAGAAGAAGAAGAAGAAGAAGAAGAAGAAGAAGAAGAAGAAGATGTGCCTTTTGTGCAGTTCGGCCGCCTGACTGTATCGTCCCTCGGTAAGAGTGTGCACGTCGGTAAAGATATTCTGAATCTGGATCTCGGTGTTACGTATGTCCTGCTCGAGAAGATCGACGGCGTGTTTCGCCTCCAAAGGATGAAGTCGGTCGAGGCGTCTCGCCTCGTCCTCCACCCTTCTCTCCAGCTCCTCCAGCCGATTGTCGGTCGATTTCATCTCTCTGTGCACTTTCTCCGCCAATCGTTGCAGCCGTTCGAGCCTGGAAACAGGGAGAGGGGGGAGAAGGGAATCGAGAAACATCGAATTGCCCGCCCGGCCCGGTGAAAATCGCACGCTCGCTCACTTAAAAAGAAAATCTTACCGTTTTATCTCGTCGACTATAGCCTGCTCCCTCTCCTGGTGGAGCATCATCAATCGGTTCCAATTCTTCTCGATCACCTCGATGTGAAGCTCGGCCTCGATGTCCACCTCGCCCACCGCCTCGAAGTACTTCTGCAGATCCCTGAACAGATAGGAGAGCCGTTGCTTGTCCCTGTAACGGGGCGGCACCTCCTCGTTCTTGAATTTCGTGCTGTCCGCGGCGAGCTTCTTCATCTCGATCAAAGTGGGGGGGAAGGCGCGCTCCTGCATCAGGCACATCTTCTCGCGGATCCACAGGTGGAGGGAGCTCGCGAGCTCCCTGTACTCCTCGGACCGCCTTTGGGCCTCGGCGTCGTACAACGGGTGAATGGGCGGCGGCTCCGGGAACACGTCGTAGAGCGAAGAGATATACGTTATCAAGGACTTCTCGTCCGGTTCGGGGGTGTCCACGTCTGCGTAAAAACGTATCAAGGTTACTTCTTCTTTTACACTCTCAACTCTTTCTCCGAAAAGTATATTATTAACATTTAAAATTTTTGACTGCCGTCGAAAAATTATATTTATAATATAATATAAAAAAATAATATAAAAATATATAAAAAATATAAAAAATTATTATTATAATATATTATAAATATTTATAATATATTTTTTATTTAATTATTTAATTTAATTTATAATATAATATTGTAATATAATATAATTATCGTAATAATATAATAATATTATTTTATTATATTTACGGATCTTTGCATGCAAAGAAAGAAAATTTGTTGAATATTAAAATCTATATATCGGTTCTCATCCGGCCATGGTATTCGAGTGACGCTTATTTGACTACTTACGTAGGATGTTCGAAAGATAATATAAACTTCGAATTGTTATAAGAGTAATATAAAAATGGTTTGTTAAAAAGATTATTTAGAATGAAAACTAATATTTGACATCGAGGAAGAACATAACCTATAAATGCTGTTGCTATCGATATCGATAAAATTAGAATTCCAATTCCTCAAACTCTATATTCAATGGATTATGTAAATAGAATTTATGGAATATTTTATATTTATCCTTTTAAAACTATATTATTAATATTTAACACGTTGACTGCCGTTAAAAAAGTGTTCTCATTGAGCAACGTTATTCGGATGACGCTTATTTGACTTACGAAAAATATTCGAAAGATATTTCATAGGATGTAATAAAACTATTCAAATTGTCATAAGAGTAATACAAAAATGGTTTGTTAAAAAGATTATTTAGAATGAAAACTAATATTTGACATCGAGGAAGAACATAACCTATAAATACTGTTGCTATCGATATCGATAAAATTAAAATTCCAATTCCTCAAATTCTATATTTCTTGGACTATATTTAATGGATTATATAAATAGAATTTATGGAATATTTTATATTTATCCTTTAAAAAAAATTAACATTTTGTACAAAGTTGAAGTCGATCGGGACAATTCGGACGAAAAATCGTTGTCCGCTATATGATTCACTAACTCTTCCATTTTTCTTTTCGACATTGGAACGAATCAGGGCAGAAATTTTAACAATTATCGTTACTCGACAAACTGTTAGAATCCTGAGGTGAAGACCTCAGCAATGTAATAATAAAAACAAATGATGCGAGAGATTATTCTTGCTCATTAGACCACCAGCATTATTAAAATATCGATGGAAGTACTTAGCAGAGTAGAACGGTGCGCTGAAGGAGATTTCATTGGAAATCTCGCTCGGCAGTCAACGTGTTAAAAGGAGGGGAAAAAGGAGGGAAAGGAAAAAAATAGGAGAAATAGGTGAAAGAGGAGAAGGAAACGGTCACGGTCGAAGCGTCGTCGAGCGGAAACTCGACGTATGATATATATTCGACGAGCGGAGAAAACAGGGAATAGAGAGAGGAGGTTGTTGATATTACCTTCAGGATCGAGAAGCCTCGTAACGCCATACTCGCGCTCCGCGACGTTGAACACACGATCGAGCCGCTCTCGCGGTTGACTGGCACGAGCGTTCCTCCAATCGACCAGGTCTGGTCTGTTCCGATGGATCAACGCGCTGAATGCCAATCCATCCCTCCACGAGCCGGTGAAATCCGTGACGCGTACTCCGGGGTAGCGCGCCGTCGATCGTCTGGCCCATCTCAGAAGCGCCTCCCGGGCGGTCACATTAGGCTCCTGACCAACCACGATATCGGATATCTAGGAGAAATGAAGATTGCGTTATGCCAAGTTCCTCGTCTCTTCGACCGAACCATCCTTTCATGTAAACGAGTGCAAGATATATGTAAAATATAATATATAATATGATATAATATATATATTATAATACATGTTATATTTTATATATATACATATATACATATACATATGTATATATAAAATATAATATATATAATAGAATACATATTATATTTTATATATATATATATGTATTCGTTTCTTCGACCGAACCATTCTTTCACGTAAACGAGTACAAGATATATGTAAAATATAATATATAATATAATATAATATAATATATATAATATATAATATATACATATACATATATATAATACATATATAATATATACATACATATATATATATATATATAAAATCAGTTTGTTTATATTTTTATATATATAACATATCTAATAATAATTTGACGCGTCGACGTCAAAACGATGTCGCTTGGTTCGCCCTTCGATGCTCGATCGTACGATAAGAAGCGCGAACCTAGAAACACTAACGAGAACTAATCTCCCCCTGCCGTGTCTCGAGAGAAGTCGAGAAAGAAGAAAATGGGGAGGGGTCGCGCTTACCCGGACGGTTTTTGGTTTTGGCGAGGCCTGGCGGCTTAAAGAGAAGGAGGAGGAGGAGGCGGCGGTGTCCTGTAAATAGCCGGATGCGGCGCGTTTCGTCAGATCCTCGGCCACGCATCTCTCCTCGCCCCGTGTCAAGGTGGTCGTTTTACGAACGATCCGTGTCACGATACGCTTGGTCCCGTTCTCGCCGCGCCTCGACGTCTTCGTTGACTCGATCGACGATCCTTGAGGAATCGGTTCCGTGAATCGGTGGACGAATTCCGAAACGTCGTCCAACAATCGGCTCGTCGTACGAGCCTTCCCTTCCCTTCCCTTCCTTCGATCGATCGATCACGGATCGATTGGAAATCGCGTCACGATCCACGATCTCCGAGCTTGGCCACATACCAACACTTGATATACAGCACCATCTAAGCTCGTGATCGTGCCGCGACTTCCACGCGACTACTTCCCTTAAATCGCGATCGAAAGGAGGGAGAGGATGAGAGAGAGAGAGAGAGAGAGAGAACGTCCGTTGGACGTAGGACCCGTCTCTTCCTACCTAGAACCTCGGTCGAGAGCCTCCGCTTCGTGTAAATAGCTCTGAGATCATCGTTGGCGGGCGTAGCGGTGGTCGAGGTAGCCGAAACCACGTTCTCGCGGGGCTCGTCCTCCCTGGTGCCTTGCACGAATAGCCGGCCACCTTTGCTGAACCGATATATCGACATGGTGGTGTTGTTGTCAACAACAACGAAACAACAACCTTTATTCTCCCCCTTTTCCGCGCGGGGAGGATTCCGATTCCCTCCAACGAGCTAACATCGACCTCCGGGAAAAGAGGTTCGGCACGTACGGCCACTCATTCGTGGCCTTATCCGGCGTCTCGGTTCCCTCCTCGCTTACTCACGGCACGCGCGGCCGCTCTCGTGAAAGCCGATTATCGAGAATCGACGTCTTCAACGAGATCCCGCGCCGAGACTCGAAAAAAATGAATTATCGTTTCGCCGAACGCGATTCTTATCGAACGGGAGGAAAGACTGATCGACGATAGCGCGAGGATATGTAACTCGTGTGTGGATCGAATGGAAAGAGGATCGTGGGGAACCGTGATGTTCACTGGACCAGAAGGCGATGTCAAGGAAGAAAAGAAAGAGGAAAGGAGAATTATTAAATGTAAAATGAATGTAAGAATACGAAGGAGAGATGTTGTTGGAAACCGTTGGCCAAAGGGAGAGGGAATGATAAGATTCGAGGAATTAGTGGTTATCGAAGAAAACACTCGGTTAAGGTAGGTACATACACCGCGCGCGTATCGCGAACCGACTACCTCGCACCACAGGTAGCTGATCGAGAGGCGCAGAGATCCCCACTTCGAGTTCGTTTCGTGCTTCTTTGCGCGTTCGTTCGCTCGCACGTTTCACCGGTAAGGCTTCGCGATGATGTGGTTCGTCGTAGGTTGTCCCTTAGCCGCTGCCGCCGCAGCCGCGACACGTGTGCGTATCTTCGTTCCTTCTTTCGATTATTTCCAACGATTATTTCGATACGAACTTGGCCGAGCGAAACGCGGTGGTAAAAAAAAAAAAAAGAACAGAAGATCGAACAGCGATTCACCGAACGACCGACAGCGTGTCGCGTCGTATCCGGCTGCCGTCGCGAGAGTAGGCCAACGAAATGCGCACAGGTGAGAGACGCCTCCGACATTCCCCCCCTCTTGGTTCCCCACTCTCTTTTTCTCTAACGTCCCTTCCTCCGTCTCCTCCCGCGTCGATCACCGCTCGTGCCTGTCATGCCATAGCACGCGTATGCTCCCCATTCCGTCCTCCGTTTCGTTTCAAACCATCGTCATCTTCTTCTTCTTCTTCTTCTTTTTTTTTGCTTCTTCTTTTGCTTCCGCAAAAACAAATCGATTTTGTCCTCGATCGCTACTTTTTTCTGCTATAATTCTGGCGCAAGAACGAGAGCGCATGCGCCCGCGATATCGGCCGAGCGATCGGTCGGGGAAACAGAGAGACCGTTGCAACGAGGCGAAACGCTCGGAGGGGAGAGGGGGGAGAGGCCCACTTCGCGACGCTTCGTTTGCCGTTCGTCGCGCATCGTGTCCTTCCTCCTTTTCCTTTTCCAGAGATTTTACGATTCACCGTGGCGCGGTAAGCGCCGCCTTCGTTCAACGATGCACCGATTACAGTAAATCGCGCACTTACCTAATTCGTGCCGTCGCGTCACTCGTTCACTCTCTATCTCTCTCTCTCTCTCTTTCGGTTTAATTAATAATACGCGTCGAGGGGGAGGAGGAAAGTGCGCGAGAACCGAGAACAGCCGGCAGGGAAACGAAAACAATGTCTAAATAAGCGGTGTCGAGTCGAAAGAAGCGAAAAATAGGACGCGTCGCGTCCCTGAGCGTTGCGAGCGCGAAGGAGGAGAGAAAAAAAGGAACGGAAAACGACTCGAGTTGCGCGCGGTTCGCTTCACACCGGACGTGACGTCATCGCGCGCCCGCAACCGCTCGGCTCAAGCATTCGTTTCCGCTACAATGCCAGCCGCGCGAACCGATCGTTCCAAGATCCTTCGGGATTCTTCGTAATTCCCTGTTTTATTTTTTTTGTTCTTTTTTTTTTTACGAAATATCGAGTAACAATTGTTTCGAAGAGATTAGCTTCGCTAACGATCGCTCATTCGATTCGAGAAAAATCCTTTCGCGATGTCACGATAGGAGGAATACAAAGTGAGAATGCGAGGGCGCGAAAGAAAGACGAAGAAGAACGGTGGTGTAACGCGTTTAAAAAAACACGGTCGCTCACAGGTTGACCTTGGCCCATTGCGTCATTCGCACGTTTTTTGTATTCGGTACTCGATTGACTGATTATCATAATTACAAGGTGGGTAGGTGGCTCGCGACCACGAGAGGAAAAGACCACGAGAGACACGGCAGGATATGGCTCTTCTGCAATCTGTCTATCTCCCACGTCTCAGAATTCCACACGACCGTCAACCTTCCCTCGATCGCGACGTAACGCGCAAAAACTACCATAAAAGGGCAGATGTATCGCCCGGACGGAAGGAAGGACGGTCGTCACCGGCGGCTATGAAAAATGACGCCGTTTCTCTAGGAAAACAACTTGGAACAGAGAGTTGGCTCGAATCGTTCTGCGCTTCCGTGTAGGACGATAGCTCGGTCACGAACCACGAGTGGCTTCGAGCGCCATCTAGCATTTCGATCAGTTCGCGCGGTCGATAAGTGATCGAGCCGGCAGCGAGATTTTTTTTTCAAAATAAAAGAAAAAAAAAAATCATTTTCGATTCCTTTTTTTCCGCTGCAGGAACCACTACGGCATAAAAATGTAGGGAATGGAACTTACCTTGCGTCGCCAGCTCTGCGGCGCAAAACAGAACAAAAAACAGACACTATTAGATACAGATGCTGATCGTAGCAGTTATTTAGTAAGTAAATATAAAGGGGAGGGACAAGCTTGTATCGGCGGCCACTTCTCGGCCTCTCGAAGTGCGAACGATTCGAGGGACGACGACGCGTTTGATCGCTACGGAAACACAGTCTCCTCTTTGTGCGATCGCGTAACACGGTTACACTGGAGCGCGTAAGCTCGATCGATGGCTCGCGTTTCAGGTTTTTTGTGTCTACGGACGAACCGACATCCGGGGATCAGCCTACTGTTCGCTACTTTTCTCGAACGGCGGCGCCGTCTCTCCTCGCGTAATCGCGTTCCCGATCCGTTCCGTGGCGTGTGCTACGGTTTATCTGTGTTCCTCCACGGCTCTCTCTCCTCTTTCCTTCCTCCTCGTTCGCCCGGCGCGTAGAAAACGAGAGCGTCGTTTTTTACACCCTGCGCGAACACGATACGGTTTCTCGAAAGAAAGCGAAATCTCTCTCGGTCGGTATCGCAGTTGCTCAAAGGCGAAAAACGGATTCGATATATTATTTGAACGCATATGACGGGATGGTCGTTCTTCCTTGGGAAGAATCGCGGCTCGAAAGGGCGAACCAGGTGTCGAGATGTTCTTATCGGTTATTGGACTCGATGGTGTATCGTTCGTGAAAGCATCGTAATCTACGATAATCGTTGGGGGGAGGGCGGCAGATGCGGGATATTCACTCACCTGGAAATGTAGTATGATGGTCCATATCAAACCTAGGGTCAGCTTTGGGTTTCCATCCACGATATCCTCGGCACGTATATTGACGAGTTTGATTTTCTTATAACGTAAAAAGTCAAGAGCCATCTGCACGTTTTGCAGCATGTGGAAACGCATCCGACCTCGTTCTCGCGGCTAAAAAAAAAAAATGTCGCGTTTAAAATTGTCCATGGGATCGTCATTGTCACGGTTAACGCTCGGTTGCCGTGGATCCAATTAAGTGTTATCCAACTGTTTTATCTTAATCGATCTCTTCTCGATTCGATTCTATCCGCGTTTGAAAAAAACAAATGTCCATCCATCGCGTATAAATATATATACGCATATATAGCGATGGGTTTGAGCGGAGTTGGTTAATCGAGCCAAGTTAGTCCCACCCCCGATTTTTACGTAATTTTCACCCTGCCAACAGACATTTGAGCGAAACAGAGCGCCAATTGTCCGTCTCGAGGGAATACTTACGAGATGCTCGCCCGAGAGAACCTCCAGCAAGGAAATGAGGTTGTACCCGTCCCGCAGGTCTTCGAACAAATCTCCGACATGTCTGCTGGCCTGCAACAACGATTTCACGCATCAGTGCACTGGTAAATCGCTTCCTTGTTCAAGTGTCTGCCCGACAATTCGTGAACTGAAAATAAAAACAGGCAATCGAATCGATCGAAACAGACGGGCTGGGGGGGGGGGAGAGAGAGAAATAATTAACTCCCCAACTATAAAATGGGAATGAACAAAAACACACGGAAAGGGCCATTGGACGTCGAACGAACACAAAACAAACGTACAAGCTCTACGAACGTGCACGAAAAAAACATAAACATGTACAAAAATGAACGTAAAAAGATAAGGAAAAGGAGGGGATAGGTGTTAGAAAGGGACAAAACAACAATGCAAACGCGGCAATCGTAATCCTCAAAGTCGCGGTTAAGGTTTATTTTCAGTGATAAATCTTCGGTATCGATACGTTATCACGAGAAAATTTAATCATCGATAACTGCGCCGCTTTTTTTTCCTTCTTTTTTCTTTTTTTTTCTATGATTCGCAACGCTTGCATTCGTTGTTGGTCCATCGTCCATCGAATTTTTTTAAGGTAAAAAATGAGAGAAAGAGGGATGGATATCGCATTTGCCATCGCTCGAAGACCACGTGTGCGATAAGGAAATTTTATCCTTAAAAAAAAACGTTTCGTCAGCTTTTTCTTCTTCTTCTTCTTCTTCTTCTCCTTCTTCTTCTTCTTCTTCTTCTCCTTCTTCTTCTTCTTCTTCTTCTTCTTCTTCTTCTTCTTCTTCTTTTTCTTCTTCTTCTTTTTCTTTTTTCTTCGACAAACGGCGTCATTTGATTCTTTCCGTGACCAGCTGCGACAATGACGTAACGTTAAGATAAAATTCCTAGATATTGGCCGAGCGATGACAAATGTATACGAGACGTAACGTCCCGTTTCGATTCAGGATGGTTACTTGGAAGTAATTAGATCGATTCCGTGGACGTTGTATATTCTCTCCGTGGAGCATGCGAAAAAAAAAAAGAAAAAAAGAATAATCCTTTCTAACATTGGCAACATCGAGACATCGTTAACGACACCTGAGCCGTGAACTTACAGTGGGGGAACAGCATGGTTGATTGTTGACAAGGACGCACACGTGCAGGCACGTGTAAGTCTGAAAAAAACATGGATTGAGACAAGGATCACGCGTCACGTCGAATTATGCGTGTGATTTTTCGCGATCGAAAAGTAGGGGAAGATTCATCGCGTGTAATATAATTATAGCGTATAGATCGTGAATCTATCCCGCTGCTTACTCGTCGATCGCACGGACGAGTGGCCCTCGAGCAGAGAGGAGGAATCCTCTCTGCCTCATGCGAGAATGAACAGAAGCAAAAGGTAAGGGGTTGACTTCCCCTTTGAGGGCGATTCACGAGGATTTGCGCTCGATGATCCTTAATCGCACGTCGATGCGTCAAAGAACGCGAGAAGACTATAGTTGACGACGAAAATAAAAAGTAAATACGCTACGAAAATTGTCAAATTTTTACAATTATAATCTCGAATCCTCGTGCATCTCTTTCCAACTCGTGCAACAATTAAAAAAAAAAAAAAAAACGTTACGCTCACGCTACGTTTAGTAATTACGTCCCAGTGAAACGATTCTTCTATTAGGCCGTGACTAAGTTAAAAATAATGCCAATGGAATTTTTTTTTCATCGTTGATCGAGCCGATATACATAACGAGTTAAGTAAATGCACTGCGTAATTAAAAAACTTAGTCAACGACGATAATACGGTAGTAATATAAGAGAGGAAGCTCATTAACCGAGGTTCTTTTTTTTTATTATTTTTTTTTTCTTGCACGAGCAACAAGTTGCCCAAGATTCTTTCTTTTACTACGTTTCAACCATGCTATCGAAAAACGTATTTGCGTTTAACGATCATCCGATAATCCAAGATAAAACACAAGCGAAACCACTCGTCCGGCTCGCGATGAACTCAGTTTCCAAGGAGAATACCGGGTGTTGATTCATACCTTGACGTATTTCCAGTGCTGGGGGCCGAGTGCGTGAAAAAAAAAAAACGATCGAAAGCATGTAATTATGAATTTTCATCGATTCTCGATTCTCGAAATTCTTATTTAAACGCGTTCATATCGAATCGATTCTTGCCGCGCGAGAACAATCGATCCGTTGTATAGCGGAGGGGAAACGTCGCGATAAGGGGATATCATCTATTTTCCACGTGCGAGAGCGGAAGAAAACAGAGATGGATCCTCTCGTTCATCCGCGTGGATAGGGGGAGAGGGAACAACGACCGATCGTCCAAGAAGAGACGACGATCGACAAAAAAAAAAAACAGTCGATGGACGTTTTTACAGCGATCGTCGATCGATCGTGAAAGAAAAAAAAAAAAAAAGAAACCAATAAGAATATCAGAGAACGAAAAATTTTCTCTGTTCTTCTAAAAACGAACGAGTCAATCTTTCTAAGGAAGGGTGTGTTCTCGTGCCTTTATTATTATTCAATGGATCGGAATTCATGGACGAAACAAGTTACTTCAGCCGATCATTTCCTGCCGCGAACGAACGGTTACGCAACCGACGGCCGGTGCGTCATCATAGCGAGGCATGCACTCGAGCGGTTATTTTTCTTTTCTTTCTTTCTTTCTTTCTTCCTTTCTTTCTCATTTCCCTTCAACTCGAACGCAACGCAACGTCTCGAACTGACTGATTAACTGACTGACTGACTGACTGACTAACTGGCTGACTGGCTGTATCCGCGTACATAACTACCTACTTAACTACCTACTTCTTACAAGAGGTGGTAAATCGGGAACGTGGCTCGCGGAGAACGCTTCCGAATAAGGTCAGAGTTACGAGAGGAAAGGTGGGCGCGCGGTAGGATCGAGCAGGTAGGCAGCCAAAGAGAAACAGTGGCGAGCGACGCGCAAACACGCAGTACCGTTCGCCGTATTACTACCCTGGAATTCATTATAAACGCGAGCTCGGCCGTTTTAAAAAAACGAACGAGTCGACAAAAAACGCGTTCGTTCGTTCGTTCGTTCGTTCGTTCGTTCGTTCGTTCGTTCGTTCGTTCGTCTCTGCCCTCTCTGGGATAATAGGAGAAAAGAAATTTGGCATCATAGGAAGGGTAATTATCGGAGGAAGTCTTGCTTTTTTTTCCTTTTTATTGCTTCGAAAGCCGTGTATACGGACGAAAGGAGAGAGAGAGAAAGAGAGATTCGAAAGAGAAAAGGATGAAGGATGTAAATAATACATTTGAGAGCAGATAAAATTCTCGAGAATCGCTATTGAGAGAGAGAGAGAGAATAACTTTCATTTTGAAAAGCGGCTCTCAAAAGTTTTGCCTTCGAACGTTATTCGCGCTATATCCGAAGAGAAGGGTGAGTAATGCCCCGTGTCTTCCGAGTAGGCGCCGGGTATATCGGCGGCGGGGTCGAAGAGCTCTAGCTCTAACATAGAAAGAAAATAAGGCTCGATAACCCTCGAAATACCGATCGAGTTATACTAGCCACTTACAGAGCGCTTCAATCTTGCCTCTCCTCCCCTTCGCTCTTCTCCTTTATCTTCGCAACGTCCAACGTAACGAGAAAGCAATGCAGAGAATGTATCGTTCCTCGATTTATCATCTCTCTCTCTTTCTCTCTCTTTCTCTGCTTCATCCTCTCGTTCCTCCTCGTCCCTTTCCAACAATCATCGTTCGACAAATTCGATTCTAAATTTCGTTTGCTCTTTTCTTGTCCTTCCCGAAAACAGAAGAGGAAGAAAAAGAAGAAGAAGCTGCGTCACTCGCGAGAAGAAACGAGAAGAGTCACGTGAGATCAAGGCTAACGCGTCTCGAGTTGCAAGAATTGTTCGCGGTCGCGTGGCGTGTCGTCGGCGTCGGCGTCGTCGACGTCGTCGTGGTCACCCGTGATAATGGTGGTGGTGGTGGTGATGATGATGTTCGGGGGTCATTGGCATGTTGCGATCTCAGAATCGGGTACTGGCATCGATGGAATCGCCCGTTCGAATAGACGCGCACAGCCATCGCCGACGGCATTCGTTCTTTTTTTCCACGCGCCGCCGCCGTGGAATGCGTACAGTGGCGTTGGAAACAGTGGCGGCGTTTGTTCGACCCATGCGCCGCACCAATGGACGATCTGTTTCGAATCTCGTTAATCGATCGCGTAAAAAAAAAAAAAAAAAAAAAGAAGAAGAAAAAGAATACAGGGATTCGAGGGTTAAGTTTCTGATGCGAAAGGGGGAAAAAAAACGAAAGGTGAAACTCGTCACGCGTTAAGTATATATATATATTGGATTTTCTCGATTTCACCCACTCGGTTTCCTCGATACGTTACCTTCTATAGCAACGCGTGAAATACCCTCCTGGAAGGGATTACGGTCGGCCCACGCGCACAGCCTACGTGGGAAAAGAGACGGGTGCAGGACATGCATGACACACGCATATACGTGTGTATATATATATATATAGGCATATGTACGTATATATAGGTATATAACGAGGGGCGAACGAGAAGGTCCCTTATATCGTTTACGTATGTGGTTACGAAACAGCTGGTTGTCCAGGCGTTGCGCGTCGCTGCTCTCGTATGCTCACCTATCAGGTGTTTCGATATACTCTCTCGCCTCGACTCCACCAGCCGTGGCCTCCCGCTAAGGCCACCGCTCTAAAATTAGTTCGTATCGTTCGATATTTCGAAGGAAGGGCCACCGGGCTTAACTCGCTTCCCTTCCCTTCCGTTTCGTTTCCTTCCTACATGAATTCGATTCGAACTTTTTTCTTCGATTCTTATCTTTATTGTGGATCGTTAAAACGGAGAGAAACAAGTTTTCGTTTTAGAATTGTGAATCAACTGTATGCGTACGTGTATGTATACGTCCATCGACTGTGCGACACGCGTTGAAAAGGGGAGAAAAAAGAAAAAAACACTTTCCTTCGAACCGAGAGAAGGCTGCTTACCTTTTTCAGATGCTTGTTCACCCATTTGGTAAATGTTTTCTTTTGTATCGCGTCTCGTTCGTCTGAAATCACAAACAGTAGAAACAATTCGTTAGAAAATTTGCTCGCTACGATCCAACGGCGACACTCGTGACGTTATCGTCACTTTCTTCCCCTTCCCACCCCCCTCCCCTCCTTAACACCTCGTCATCGTTGTTTTCACCGATTATCCTTCCATTTCCGCGTTACGTAGATAATTAATTAGAACGAATTTCCATTTTATCGCGCGTGAATCGATCCACCCACGCAAGCAGGCATTAGGCACGAAGGCAGCGAGCGATCAAAGCAAGCGGATAGACGGACAGGCAGACGGACAGGTAGGTGGTTGGGATAGGTAGGTAACTAGGTAGATAGGTAGGTAGGTAGATAGGTAGGTAAGTAGGTAGGTAGATGGGTAGGTTGATACGTGGGAAGATAGTAGGAAAAGAGCAGTCGATCGTGCAAGAAAACAAGCAAACATGGGAAAAACTGTTGCCTTTGAATCGCCGTTGAAAGCGTTTTGCGTAATCGCCCAAAAACCGAAAAAAAAAAAAATCTTTAATTCAAGCGGGAACGTGAACGAAGCAAAGGTGAAACGCGTTGATATCACCCTCTTGTTCAATATATCCATCCCCACCCCCCCTCCATTCGCCTATAATCCGACTTAGCAACCATACGACATCCGTCGGTCGGCCGTCCGTTAAACGAAACAGACGACGAAGTTCGACGACACGTCTCGATCGCGAGACGATTAATCGAGTAGGAAGGTTTTCTTTGCCCGTTCGCTCGCACAACGGCGTAATAGCGGTTAATTACGACCGATTATCCGATTCTGTCCAGCTGTTAAACTCTCCGTTCGTGAATTAGTTAGTCTTGGTGAACTTGTGAACTCAAAGATCAATAGAAATTAATAAGACTATTATTTTCTACTATACTTTTTGCTCTCTATTATCTCTGATACGAACGGTTAAAATATATATATAGGAAAAAAAAAAATAGACGAAGGTGAATAAGATATTATTTGAAATAATGGTGGCATTAGTCAATGTTGAAAACGTTGTCGGCGAACAACGGGGCTCGATGATTTCCCTAACATCCCGGCGCCGACGTCACGAGATAAGAAAGACAAGCTATTTGAATCGTTTTACAACGACGCTTTTATTTAAACGCCCGTGTAATGTGTACAGCCGCGTGCACCGCGGTATCTCGTTCGTACTTTGGTAACGAATCACCAAGTATATATATATATATATATATATATACATGTTATCCGTCGTTATTCGATAAAATAAGATAAAAGAGAAAAAGAACGATCCGATCGATTAACTTGCTCGTAACTTGTACGTAAGCGTTTAAAAATAAAGAGGAACGTTTATTAACGATTGACGTGGCAAGGCATTATTAGGCTCTCGTAATCGCCGATTTCGAAAAGCCGAGCGAGGCCTTGGAAAAAAAAAAAAAAAAAAAAAGAAAAAAATATTTTCAACGGAAGGAAACCGTTTGGGAAGAGTTTGGCATACCGAGGCATACAATTGAGGAGATAAATTGGAGATACAATGATCGAGGACAGCCGTTATTTCGAGTCCAACGCACACACGCGCGCGAGCGCGAAGGATTTTCGGAGTGTGCGATAACGAGGGGCAATTGGTGGATAATCGTGTCCCCCCCTCCCCGTCCGACACTCGGAGCTCGAGCGAAACGAGTTGGAGAGGAAAAAGTTTTGAAATAAATACATCGCGATAAATTCTTTTTTCGCGAAGACGACGAACGAAACGGAAAATTACATTTGGCCGCGTTTCCACGAACGTACGCGCGAGTATGCGCGTAATTCACGCCCGATTCGCGAACGATTCTTTCGAAAAAAAACGGGTTCTCCCCCTCCCCCTCTCCCTCTCCCATTTTGTCGAAACGCTTGCGAATCACGTGCGGAGACGATCGGTGAAATCGTTTCGGCGCAAGATACATTTCGTAAGCGAGACCACTATCTGCTAGGTGCGTGTGCGTGGACGAAAAGGAATCGCGAGTAAAACGAAGAAGAAGAAGAAGAAGAAGAAGAAGAAGAAGAAGAAGAAGGAGAAAGAAAAAAGAATCGTCTCTAAAAGCGATTCTAAATGCGAATGATGATTCTAACTACGTTACCTAAACTCGAAACTCTAATTAGGAAGCGTTTCGCGATCTATCGTGATGTTTCGTGACGCGATATTAGATACACACACAAAGACAAAATTCAAAAATTAGTTAGTCGAAGTGTTAAGTGAACAAAAAAAGAGAAAGAGAAAAAAAAAAAAAAGGAAGAGAAAAAAATAAATGAAAATCAAGAAAAAAAAAACTAGTTTCAAAATGCACAAACAAAAAAAATGTTGTTCGCAAAATACGCGAAATACGCGAAAGGAAAGTTAAGGAAAATTCGCGAATAAAATAACGGAAAAATGGAAAAGAAGAATTGTCTCGTATCGAGAGGGGACATTCGAACCCGTGGATCAGAGCTCATCACGAGCCGCGAACTATTTTGCCCCGGCTATTTCCGAGGCTACTTCCGCGAAACATTCGGGTCAAACGGCAAAAGGTAAACGACCTGAAAAAGATACTTCCGTTCACGGTATAGTCTCAAACCGATACGAAACTCTAGTTTACGCGATGCGTGCAACTCCCTTTTCTCTTTCTCTCTTCGATTTCTCCGCACGGTTTCTCCTCACGGTGTTCCGACCGAGGGGAAATTCTCGAGGGAGGAGAAGAGAATACGAGTCGAGAATCGCACGTATCGTACCGATTTTCGTGATTCGCTAAAGCCAAAGCGAATTCTCGGTGATGAGAAAAGAAGAATAAAAAAGAAAAAAAAAAAGGGAGGAGATATTGGAAAAGAATAGTTACGTATCGAGAGGAGGGTCAGGGACAAGGTATTGGACGGGGTCCAGCATCGGCATGCCAACTCTTCACCTACCGTGCGCCTCGATGAACATCGCCCAGCAACCCCAGAAAGCCTGAGTGCTGCCGGAACGGTGTTCCTCCGCGGCCGCCCCTTCCACCCGCCAATTTTCCACCCGTCGTTCCATCATCCACGAATATCCATTTTCGTTCTGACCTTTGAACTTGGACAGAGACTCCTCGTATCCGTGCTGCGATCTCTGCTCACGGTGGTGTTCAGCCACGGTATCGGCCGGATCGAAGCCGAGCCTCTCCTTGTAATAAGCCTGAGTGGACATCTCGTTAACCAGTTAAGCCCGCTACGAATCTTCTTACGAGGTTGTTTCGTAACCAGCCAACGACTGAACGACGTCTTCCCTTGTTCATCGGCCCTTTCTTCCTCTCGTTTCTTTCCTTTCCTCTTTCTCGCGTATGCCGTAACTTTATTTCTTTTCTTTTTTCTTTTTTCACTGTCTCGTTTTCCCTTCGTTCGCCAACATACGTGACGTACACGCACAAAAAAAACAAAAACACTGACGTTTCTCCTTGTTCCCTTTCGGATCAATGTCAATCTCTCTCTCTCTTCTCGCGTATTATAGTTTCGTAAAGTTGAAAACACACAACTTACTTAAGAGCGGTAAACTTATCTTAATGGAAGGTTTATTATTACTGTATGGCACTTCAAGTCGATGGAAGACTCTCGATTCTTCCTTCAAAATTCACTTTTGCGACCCGTTGTTGCGATAGTGGCGTGCCTCCTCCCCTCTCGATTTTCGTTTCTTTCTCGGGTCGTATATTTCGAGGACGCTGGTCGTCGCCTACAACTGTTGGGAGGAACGATCGAACGATGCGAAAAATCGGATTAGGAAGGAACTCGAGTCGAGCGTCGCTCGAGGCGTGTGACACCAACGAAGACGCGGCACAATGCGGACACCGAGGAGAACGGCTAATTTCGTTTGTCCGTTCGCCCGGTCTCCAGACGAGGAGAACCAAGAAGCTTAACGAATCAACGACCGAATTTATCACGGCACGTCGCAGACGTAACCACTCAACGTGGTTTCTCGGGCAAAGTGGCTCGGTGGAGCATCGCACGAGACGCCGGTAATCGGTCTTTCGCGGACGTCTAGTTCATCGTTCTCTCCGAGAGAACGAAAGAGACTCCCCGACTATATCCGCGCAGACACGATAAATAGAAGAGCACGAGCCAATTTTCGTTACTCTCCCGCTCGACTTTCCCGCGCGACCAATTAAACTGGACGATTCTATTACCGACAGAGAGAGAGAGAGAGAGAGAGAGAGAGAGAGAGAGAGAGAGAGAGAGAGAAAGAGAAAGAGAGAGGAAATGCGTCACTCGAGAACAGCGTGGAATAAAACGAATTACGTGGAATAAAAGTTTGGAAAATGAAAATTATGGAGACGAAACGGCTCTGATCGAAATACGAGTAGGGAGGAGAACGGTGGCAAGGATCGAGCACGCGACCGAGTCGGCGATTGTACTAACGAATGAACAACACTGGCAGTGGCCGCGCGAGCGAGCGTACCAACGAACCAAACTGACGACGGTCCACGAGACGGTTGGTGACTGAGAGAGACACGGGTGCCACCCGGAGAAACCCAAGACCATCGGGATCTCCGCATATGGTAATGGAAGCAATGGCATGTGGGTGTCGTCTTCTGGATCGAAGCGAAAACGCCAATTGCGACACGCCGACACAAGGGCCCTCTGCTAATCCTATTCGTCTTTCACCTATGATACGTACGACTCGCGTGTTCCTTGCCCTCTTTCATCCAACATATCTGGCCATCCGCGTATCTCTCCTTGGCTTTAAGCTTGGCCAAACGCGTGAATCGATACGATTGTTCCTTTTCGGTATTTTTCTTTTTTTTTTTTCCCCTCCCCCTTTTTTTTTCTTTTTCTCGACAAAGGGCTACGATTACGTGGCCGGTCGCAAAACGTCAAACTTGGTCGTACGACCTGACTCGACTCGATTCGACCCGACTCTGCCCGGCTCTCCCTCTAGGACCGACGGAATTAGATGCGAATAGAAAATAGAGTAACGCGTGTCACGCGCCACGCGGTGTTAGAAATAAGAACTTCTAACCGTGTGTGTCCGTCCCATTGGTTAGACGACGTATAGAAAGTTCGAGAGAAAGTAGTAGCCCGTAACGCGCCGTAACAATCGCATCTCTCGTAGATTAAAATTTTACGCAGAGAGGAAATTTTTACACAACTTCTTCTTCCCTCTTCGTCTTCCTTTATAAGAGGATAATAAAATAGCCTGCAAGGAAATATGGAATAATCGAAACGATCGTGAAAACGATCGATGACATCACGACAGGTCGAAAACTGGAAACAGCCTGGCGTTCTTTATTCCTTCCACCTCTTCCTTCTCGCCTACGATCGCGCGGTGAACGATATCGTCTAATAACGAAACCGGCCGCGTTAAAAGGTGTATATAGAGGAGAGCAACGGTCGGCGGGAGAGCGAGAGAGCGAGTAGAAGGTTCGGAGGAAAGCGGACGAAAGGAACGAGGGAGGAGGAGGAGGAAGCGCGTGTACACACGCATCGGATCGGCATAACGCGAGCTGCAAGAGGGGCCGGCTCGGCGGCATTCTTGCGGCAACGGCGTAGCAGTATAACGGGTCCATAGTCGGCTCACGGAGGACTTCTCGAGGGCTCTTTCGAAGACTCTCTCTCCGCCGGTAGTATACAGTCCGGTTCAACCTTGAGCGTGGCAAACCGTGGCAAACCGTGGCTCGCGCGCGCCACTTCTTCTCCTCGATCGATCCATCCGCCTTTTCACCCCCTTTCGCAAAAATTGGTAATACGTGAAAATCACGATTGCACTAATTTATTTTTCTATCTTTAGACTCGAATTTTCCCTCGAATTTTCTATCTAACTTTGTCCTTGTTTACGAGGCGTCTTCGAAATGGTAGAAGCGTAAAAAAAAAGGAATAAGTTTGAAAAATTTTGCAAGTAAATTTTCTAATGAGATGGAAATAAATTATCGAATAAGAGATAATTTCACATGTGAAAATAAAGAATATTATAGCCCTCTATCGACAGTTCATTCGTATCCAATCGAGAAATAAACAATTTCATTTATATTAGAAAACAAAATCTAATAAACAAAAAAATCTTATTCTTCTCACTTTGTACATAAAATCACCATATGATCACTTGTATCACGATTTCAAAAACACTCTGTATATACTTTTGGATTGTCGAGTTCTAGAAATAAACAAACAAAAAAATTGTAAGCTTATTTATTAAATTCCTTTTCCACCTCCTAGAGAATCAATCCAACACATTCCAAAAGATGAATATATCAACACCCTGTATAGTCCGGAAACCTCACCTATCTTGACGTCTCTCGTAATCACCGCCTCGAGGCAAAACGACGAAACGTTCACAGCCAATCGATCTTTCAGAAGCATCTTTCTCGCTTTGCTCGCTTCCCAGTTGCGTCCTACTTACGAGCCGTACACACAATCGACACGTTCCTGCTAACTCCTTCGCATCGATCTACGATCTTTTGCACAACTCCGCGATCATTTCATCATTCCAAAACGCGTAATTCTAGACACGTGTAACACGTGTATCCCCATTAACCTTTCCGCGTCAAAGAATCGATTTCCTCGCGATACCTCGCGTAACCTCGAACTTGATACGGCGAATCGACTGTAAGGACGAGTTCGCGGAATTCGGCCAACCAGTATAGCCGAATTCCAACCGGTGGATAAATTTTCGGCTGACCTTTCCTTTCCGCGTGAGACGAGGATCGTTAACAACGTTTCGGCTAATAAGTGGCTCCGGGTTCCCTCTAAAAACCCTGTTTCCGTTTCGTTTCATTCGAAACTGCAAACTGGTTTTCAAGGAGGAAACCAGTGAAATCAAACGAGACACATTGATTCCCAACTTTCTGCCGATTTCTGCCGACGAGAGAAAAATATTGTTGCAATATTGTGCAAATATTGTGTGTGATAACAAATTTTCCGACGATCGCGTAATCTCTTCGACGATAAATAAAGTCGATGAAGAGGAAGAAAATCGGCAGGATCGAGAGACGATGATAAGTGAATGAGCGCACGCCATCGAGTTCCTATCGATAAAGCTTACTTGCACTTTCGTAGGTCTTTTAACGCAACGACCAAATACGGCTTTCGGTGAGAACGCGGTGGAGGTCGTGGATACCAAGGTGGGGCGATATACCAACCGAACGAGTAGACGGAGAGAGCGAGAAAGAGAGAGAGAGAAAGAGGGAGGCAAAAATATAACGATAGCGAGAGCGGATCAATCGATGAACAGAAGCGAACCGTAGTTGCGAACTGGTAGTTGAACGAAAATGAAAAAAGTCGAGGGAAATCGGGGATGGTGGACGCGAGAGATAGAAAGTCTGAATGAAAATCAGCGATCAAACGAGAAGCAAAATATTCAGTCTGAATATCCATAACCAGAAAACGGTGAGATAACGAGGAATGAACGAGACTGGTATCGCGAGTGAGAAGAAATAATTGGCATTCCGTTCGAACGCAGGGGACGAGGCAATTACGACAGTCGTGGCAATTTGGCAAGAAAATACAAGAAAGCAATGAGAGAATGACGTTCCGCCTCTTAGTACCACGCGCTTTCCTCGCTTCTCGACGCATATGGGGTGTACGGGCGAAAAAAAAGTAGAAAGTTTAAGGAACGATTTCAAATATCCGTCTAAAATTAAATTATTCGCAATTTGAAATATAAGTTTCAAGTAGGAAGCTTCCAATTTTGGAATTTTCAATCGCTAAAATTATCTCTTACGTTTTCCATTCATGCACTTGATCGGAACACCCGGTACATGCTTTTCTGGGAAGGCACGATGGGAATTCAGAAGCAGCGGGACACTTGGACGATCTCTCTCGTCTGGGTGGCGGTAATAATGGTCGCGTGCGCGCGAGAGATGACGTTCCTTCGAGTTTCGACGGTGCTCGAAACGGTGAAAACCAAGACGGATCTCGACTGGCTACGACCGATTCGGGACAGAGAATAGGTCGATCGGACCAAATTAAGAAATGTCCAACGTACACAAGAGCCGGGCTCATACGTGATTGTGCGCCGGTATCTCTCGCACAAGCCGGTTTGTCATAGATCTCCGCCGGCCTGCAATTATTACGCAATCCCCGTATTCGATGAAAACGACTTTCTTCTTATTTACTCGCCACTGAAACCGCCACGCCGTATCTATCTCTATATAAGTATCTATATACTACGTATGTATACACTCGAAGCGATAACTTGACCGATCATGCCGACGCCTCTCGATGTTCTTGTCCCATTGATAGTTCGATTCCTCGCGTCAATTTACCCCGTGACACGACTTACGTTTCGGAAGGAATCGGGTTTCGATCTATTATGAAGTTTATTCGAAACTCTATCGATTTAGAACACCAACGAATGACACGAACCAACAACGCGTCTATTAAGTTTCACTTCCAAAGAGTGTATACGTAACGATTCTAAGAACACCGAATTCGAAACGCCATACGAAAACAAGAGGGCAAGATGGGGAACCGATCCCCAACCTTGAATGAATCCCCTCTTGATAATATCAAGACACACATTTCTCGTTTGCTGAATCGGTCGCTTAACCGTTCAGGACTCGATATGCCGTTTCGTGATTACTAACAACGCACTGGTTAATGGAAGGGGCAAGAGAGGAGCGGGAACGATCGAGTGAGTAAGCACACGAGTGTCGGAGAGACAAAGAGAGAAACGGTAGAACCGAAAGAGAGGGAGAGACGATTCGACTCAGAGACAAAGGTAGAAGAACAGGAGGTACGAATAATATCACGGTACGAAGCGTGACTCACGGAACGCCTCGTGTTTTGCTCACAGGCCAATGTATTTACCGAAATTTTTCGTTCAATATGTACACGTATATATATACACGTTAAGGTATAAGCAATAATTCCAAGCGTACACCGAACTGTCACGTGTATCAAAGACAACGAACAACACCCACGAGTTCCTTCCTCCGAGAGACCTAACGACTGTTACACACTCGTATCGTATCAACTTTTTAAACCCGTCGCGAAAGAAAAAACACGGTAAACGATAAACATTATCACGAATGCTGTATTACACATTGGATGATACACGCGACGATACTGTCGAACGGAACAACCGACAGAGCAAGCAAGCGACCAACCAAACCGACCGATCGCCGCTACTCGAGACGTGGCACTGGAATTCTTGGTAGAACGTACCGCACGACAACGTTGACGAAGTCGACGCGCGTATCCGGAACCCCGCCGTAACACGGCCAGGTAGCTGTAGGCCGTAGGACGAGGACGGAGAGACTCGCGGCGAGAGGAAAGCGCGGCAGCACACGCTCGCGCGCGGAGAAACGATCGGATAAGAAAAAGACAGAAAGGTGGACCGAGAAGGATGAATGGGCCGAGGAAAAAGGAGCACACACAACAACGGGTGGATAAGGAACAGTGCGACGAACGCAGGGAGGGACCGATACACCGAGAGAGAGAAGCAAGATGCGTGAACGGACAAGGAAAGAGAGAAAGAGAAAGAAAGAAAAAGAGAGAGAGAAGGAGAAGGAAGGAGGGAGAATGAAAAGGAAAGAGGAAGGGAGGAGACAGAAGGGGAGAAAAGGAGAGCGAGCGAGCGGCTTGCGAGTTGGAGAAGACGCGATTTGCCGCTCCGTCGTGTAGAGCACGTCGCCTCGACACAGACTGCGGCGGTCTGGACAACTGCCGCCCACCCAAGCTGCCTCTCTACCTCGAGCCTCGAGGTTCCAGAACCTACTCCTCGCATGCCCCGCCATTGCGGCTCGTTCATCCTTCACTTTCTCCGTTCGTTGAACAGAGAAATCGACACGGCTGAAGAGTCGGGGTGAAACCGAACGAAAGAGGAACAAAGACGGGGCCAAGGGACCTGTCTTCGCTAGACAGAGATCGGGCGCAAGGCCTCTGTCTTTTTTGACAACGCCTTACATTCGGGCGGTAGAATAGCTGCCGTTACAAACAGGTTCGTAGGGCAGGTCACGTAACGACAGGGGCGCGTCGAGAAAATACCGCGAATCGCGAATTAATTTAACCAACAATGTGTGCCAAATGGGACGCGGATTGTTCGTTTCACGCGTGAATAACATGCTCTGATATATATTCAACCCAGCCTTTCTCAACCATTTACCGTTTCGTGGGCAAAATTCTTCGATCGCCTCGGCCAAACGGAAAATCGCGAAACCGAGCCTAGTCCCACGGAAAGCTCGTTCTTCGCTAAGCGTGAGAATTCTTGCGATCTGGCGCCAAGCCAAATGGTAGCTAATTTTTTATTCGTTGATCATTCCTAACGTCGCCGATATTCTACCTCTTGTTTATGTTCGCGGTAAAACTAAACGGCGCACGCGGCACCTCCGTTAACAGATGTGGACACTAAATACGCTACTTTCTTCCAGATCGCTAATCTTGTTCGTGGCCATGAATGCAGAAATATTTATCTTATCGAGATGGATAATACTTAATACGTTATATTCGATTTATATTTTTTAACATTTGATTCGATCGACGAGAATTAAATATTAGTTATTGTTTCAGTTAAAAGCTCGATTGATAAATAATCTAGCAGAATGATTAAAAAATTATCTCGATTGGCGCAAGTTTTACTTTATCTGATTTCCATGATATTTTTACATGACGTATCAATTTTAAGCATTCGTAATTCCATTTCATGAAAATTTTAAAAATTGTGCGTATCCCTTATCCCGTTATCCGACATTTCAAACAATTTCAAACAATTGTATATGAATTTAAACGGTTTCTGAATCATCCGGGACTGCGACCAAGTTGGAAAGAATGTAATTCTGGCAAGATGGTCAGTTTCATCAAAAACATAAACAGGTATATGAGCCAAGAGTCTAAGAATTTCAAAAGTGGCATAAGCTTCTTAACTTAACAGCTTATAATCTCGTCCTTTTTCCACTCATCCAAAATTTTCATGGTTTTATTACGGTAAAATCGTTTGACGAACCGTTGAAGCGCATTAATCAATCCCGAAGAAAAATAATTTCCACTCTTCTAACGTTATATCGTAATGTCTACTACATATTCGATGAGTTTGAAGCAGCGGTTCTTCCGACTTATGACCTAAATCCCACCGGCTAACTTTTTATCTCTTTTATTTTTATTTTTTTTTTTTTTTATTCTTCTTGCCCCCTTGGCATGTACATACGGATTCCTAACTGTACTGCGATCGAAGCGAAGATTATACTCTACGAAATATATATTAAAACGTGGATCTCTAAAAGAAATTTAGTTTGATCGCACACTTCGAATCGGTCGATTGAACCCGCTTCCATCCGTTCGAGAGATGGTCCGTTTAACGTTTCCCACGACGACCCGGGAATATCCTCGACGACGAATAAGGAAGTGCGCGACAACAAAAGAATTTTCCAAAACAGGTGAGCCAAAACAAAAAAAAAAAAGAAAAGAAAATTAAGGGAATTTTCTCAATTGTCACGAGAATTAGTTTTCACAAAATTAATTAAGGTCTTTGTCTATCCTTGCGACTTGAAAGAGATACTCGAGCCTTACTCGATTCTTTTTACCTGGACCCTAAAAGGCCCTCAACAAACAAAAGTGCGAGATGAATCACGGATATACTGGTCTCTTCAGGTACTTCAGGTACCCCAGGACATCTAGCGAGCGACTCGTGAAGCCTCCGTCCGTAGGCAAAGAAAACCAGGCATCGTAACAAGCTGTACATATACGACAAACAGGTGCAAGAACTTGTCCAAACTGTTTTCCCCTTTTCGAAACTTATCGCTCGTCTCTACCGTACGAATATTTTCAAAAAAAATAATAATATCACGAAAGAACAAGTGCGTCGAATTTATTAGAAAAGAAGTGGCTAGCAAATGGCACGCACGAAACGTAACGATTATTTAAAACAGCTTTGGAAGGAAGTAACGAGAAAGAAGAGAAAAAAAAGAGCGAAAGAGTAATAATAAAAGTAGGAAGAGAAAAAAGAAGACGTTCTCGAGGCTGGGGCATCGAACCGTGACCCGAGCACCTGTTGCCGCCTCCACGCTCCTAGATTAATGCGAACCGACCTAACCTGCCGCCTCCGCTCCCTCGCTCACTCGCCGCAGCGTAGGCATAGTAAACTGGTATATAACCTCTCGAACGAAGATCCCATGGACCGTGACCGCTGAAATGCACCACGCTCGTGAGTTCATCGACGCGACGACGTGGTTGAGTCGTTGCGTCTGCTCTTCTTTGATCGCGACACAAGTGACTTCATTCATCGTTCCCCGGCCGTTCAATGTGGTTAAAAGTCGTCCCATCAACGGAGATCGGGATTCGTTCGTGTTCTCGGAAACTCATAAATTAATGAGATGAAAGAAGAAACGGCGAGTCTCGTAAGAGGCAATTGAGAGAATTGGCGGTACTCGATAGTACAACGGTTACTAGAGCATTCATGATAGCGCACCAATAGGTCGTTATAATTAGAAACAATTATGTTCGCGTGCCTGAGATGCGATACTTCGATATCGGTTGTTATATATCTATGGTACGAGAGTTACACACGTTATGTCGATCGAACATCATTTTAACGACGCCACATGAAAATGGTGCGGAACCCAGCTCGTTGCTTTTGTGGGCGTGAATCAGAGCCTGTAATTTCACGAATAGGATGTGTCCTACATGCATACGTTCGTATGCATACATCGTTTATCGTATGCGCGTAAAGGAAAAAAAAAAGAAAAAAAATAGAGAAACGAATTATCGCGGAAGAGATTTGTTTAAATCGAGTACAATTGGAATTCGTCCGATGATTAAAGCGACGCGCGAAAAACGATTCGCGACGGAGGTGAGCGATAAAAAAAAATTCTCACGGTAAAATGATCGGCAAACTGCAATTCGATATTTATCGAATGGTTTCGAGTATCTATTCCTGGTCAATACCCCGCGTCGAAGGTCGACTCAAGATTATACTCGCAAACGATTCTCATTTCCTACATTGCAAGAATTTACAACATGGCTAATTTATGACTCGTTATATTCGTATCGTACTTTCGAAGGTACTGCGTGTATCAGTTTTCTCGAACTAGCTGGAGAATAGCAGACGATATACTCATATACCGACTTACCATACTTTCCAGTTCTCACGAAACCCTTATGCGCTAATCGATAAGGGGTATTTGAAAGAGAATCACCAGGGGATATGAAGGGTCAAATAAATTTTATCAATTACAAACATTATTATTGATTCAAATTCACGTCGCGGCGAGTCGTAAGTATTATTGATTAATATCTGTCCACCTTGAGAAACGAGATTAGTCGTCGTTATTATTAATTTAAAATTCATTACATGGTAATATTCTGGTCGATTACGTATGTTGTCGATTACGATCTGGTCTCATAAGAGACACGACAAACATCATCGCCATTTAACGTAATTATTTCAACACATACAACACATTCGTATGTATAATGCTCATTTTATAATTGATCGAACATTTTATTCGTGTATATACGATGCTTACATTGTATATAAAAACGTATAGCGGAATTTATTTAGATTTTATTTTCTTTGGTAAAGCAGAAAACTTCTAATAACATTTGTGAATCGCGCTTTAAATGAAAACGAAAAGCGAAAGGTATAACGGTAGAAAATTAAATACGTAACCAGCTTATGAAAATGGAAACTAGAAAGAACTAAGATTGACACTTACCAGCAATCCGTAAGACGGCTCTGTCAGCAGGATCGAGCTGCAGGATACTCAACGGTTTATCCTTTACCCATTCCTTCAAGCTTCCGTCCAGCTCGAACTCCATTCTCTAAAACTGTTGATTGAAACTTCTTTTTTTTTTTTTACACCATATTCGTGCAACTCCTCTTTTGCTCGGCACTGTTTCACAACCACTTGGCAATTTCACAACCGCGATACACAAAGAGCTTCTAAGTATTACGTCGTTTTCGTTCAATAGAGTTCGCAAGGCAGTGGCGAATAGTGCACCGAACTAAGTCGCCGTGTTATCGACAGCAGGCATTTGGCAACTTTGCACACAATATTAGACACGACATCCTCGTTACCGGTTTCTTCTTCCCTGATTTAGATTTCACTAATGATATTTTTTTTCTCTTCTTTTCTCTACTTCGAAATCAATAATTTTATAGTCGAAAATAGTTTTAGTCGAACGAAAAGCACGTGGAACTCGTATACATGCCGCGCGTTTATTTATTGTACACGACTCTGCTGTAGGGTAGAGTAACGTATCACGGCGTAGAAGTGCACGAACTGCACCGGCGTAACGGAAGGAAGAGAGGTGGCAAGGAGACGACGAACAGGGAAAGCGTACGCGATGTCTGGCGTCCTTTTGACGATACACGCCAATACGTACAACAGTTGCTTAGCCAGCAACGTAACGTGCTTCCAGCACGCCGATAATCAGCAATACTTCGTATCTTTGTCGTCAGCGGCGCTTAGGTCAAGTTAGATTTGGTTGAAAATGGACAAATCAGATTCGACCTCTTTCAATTGCAATCTTCAATTCCCGTTGTTGTTTGTATATTTTGTGCCATGAATCGAAGATTTTTCAGTATTTTATTTGTCAAAATTCCTTAAGTTTAATTCCACCCTCATTATCCTCGATACTATCTTCCATTTGCAACATTCTATAAATATAAATATAAACAATATATTCTTAATTTTTTCTTTTTTCTTTCCTAAAAAATAAAATATTTATAAATCGTACAAAAATAATTGATTTTTGAAATAATTGAAATAACTAAAATACTGAAAAACATAAATGAATTCGAAGAAGATGGAACAAAAATACACATAAATATTTTAATCATATAAATCGAATTAAATCATATTAAATCGAATTATTGTGGAGAAAGTAATATTTCTTGTTATATAGCGTTTTCTAAGTATGTTGAGAATATGACTAAATTTAATAATCAAATGTTGATTTTAATAATAATAGTAACAATATTATCCTTAATTTAAGTATGTTTTAAATGCATATATCACAGTGCAAAAAATAAATCAAGAGAGATCTGATTTGACAAAGAACCGGAAGCGGATGTGGCAACATTCAAGTCGAACTAATTCTCAGGCAACGTTAAAAAATTGAAATGTACATTTTTCGATATATAAATCGTTTTATTTCCTTGTACATATCTCTACGAAAATTAAAGAAATATCTACGCATTGTCTGTTATTTCTTATTGATAAAATTAAACAATTATTCTTCATTCGAAATGTTCATTCTAATGTTTTTTTATTTTTTGGCATGTTTAAACAGAAAATATTTTTTCAAATTTTCATGATTTTGTTTTAAATGAAAAAAATTAAAGATAATTTTTTTAATATGTACAATTAAAAACTTCAGTTTACGTGTACATAATCATGAGAAATAATTTTATTCTTTTTCTTCCTCATTTCTTCCGTATATGAATTTTTTGATTTAAAATAATAAAAAAATATTTTTATACATATTTTTATTGGATAAATAGATATTAGAAACATTCTTGTCTCAAAACATTCTTGTTGAATGAAACGAAGGTGAATCTAGTTATTCTCGGGTTAAACCTAACCTAACAATTCAGGAAACGTAGCGAGAATACAGTTAGTTATTTCAGCAAAATGACACTGAACTCTTTGAGTTTGCGCATCACTAGAATATACACGATACTCGTATAACGTTATCGTAAAATTTTGATATTTCTCAAATGCAAAAGATATACGAAGAATATGATATTGCAAATTAGCGACATCTGCGAAAAACATTAGTGCAAAGTAATAAAGATAACCATTTTACCGAAAATAATAAAATGTAGTAACTATGATTCATTCGAACATATCGGTTCGAATCTTAAAACAAATGCTAATTTGACACGATACAATGTGAATAAGATGATGTATTATCTTATTCAAATTTATTTATATTATTAAAAATACGAATTCATTAAAATCTTTATAATATTAATAAATCGACGAAATATCGACAAATCGTACGATATGCATTACCGTTTGATCATCTGTCGAGTAAGATGCGAAAACAGGAAAAATCAATGTTCACCGGTATTCTCCTAGAGTTTCTTTGTTGGCAACGAGACAACCCAATGCGAAGAATATCCTTTTGTGACTTTTGATACACTTTCCAACAAAAAACACTACGTACTTGTATATAGAGACATTGCATTATCACTTATCATAGCAATTTTCACGTCAGAAATACGACCCGGTTTCTGACGACGCACCTAGCAGACGACATTTTGCTTTTTAACGAACGTATCCGAAGCTTTCCGAACTTCAGCGAACTACTGAATAATCGGCAACTGACGCGATTTACGAAACTACTCGATGGCTTAGTAATCAATTCTATTTCTCATGAATTAAATATAATTTTTTCATCATATGAATATAAATTAGCTTTATCTATTTCCTATCCTGGTTTCTTTTTTATCTTTTTTTTTATTTTTCGGATATATAATTTTTCTTTTGAAATACATACTTGTGAAAATTGGAAAGTAACTTTATTTTTTATAAATATTAGGCAATAAAGAGGATAAATGGAAAATATGAAAGGAATATGAATTTCAAAATATATCTTTAACAGTCAGTCTTATACTTGAAGAAATAATTTTTTGAATATCGTATTAGTGATTGTTATAATACCAATATACATCAATATATTATCGATGTTTTTAAATTTATTATTAAATTCTATAAAAAAAAAAAAAAGGTTAAAGCTAGAACAGGTATATTTTACATATGAATGAATGGAACGCGTCTGACATCATACCTATAACGGATGACATCAACTTTTCACTATATGATTATTAGTCTCCACTGCCATCAGTCGTTCATACAGTGGCGTCCACGGTAGCCTTCGTAGCCATTTGCTTCATTTGATGTCACCGCTAAATAAAGCGACTGACACGGTCGGTAAATACGAGGACGGTGTTTCGAGTAGCACCTATTCCATAATTAGATGTTTATTACGATTGGTTAAAAATCAATTTCAAAGTCCAATCTATTATGGATGATCTTAATATGAGTTTAATAATATGGAAATATTTTACGAACTTAATTCACGAATTTTTTGGTCCAGTACTATAATTGTTTGGCTCATTTGTTGCCTGAAGTACTTGTCTTGTTAACGTATCTTGACTAGAATGTTTTCCTTTTTGTAATTTGCCAATAATATCTTCCTGTTGTTTAATTACATCGTTTAAATGTTGTATTTTACATTGATAATCGTGTTTCATTCGACGTACATGAAGTTCTTGTAATTTTATACGTTTTTCTACAGAATCTACCTGTTGTTTCGTACCTTTTCGAACAATCTGAAAATTATTATAAGTTATTTAATTTTTTTTATTTTTTTTATCAATAATATAAATTTTATACGTACTTCTAATTGATTTTTTAAGCCTTCCACTCGACTAGTAATACTTTTACCAAGACGATCCATATTTGCATTTTCTTTTTCCGTTTCACGTAAAAAAGATAGTAATTTTTCTCTTTCTGAAACAATTCTTTCATATTCCGAAAATAATTCTTCACAATAAGCAGTTACTTTACTTAATTTCTCTTTCAAAGAATTACGTGAAACACGAGTCGAATAAACAAGAGTTTGCATTTGTTCACTTTTACGTTGAGTTCGTCTAAAATATATATTGTCATTATATATTAAAAAGAGATGTAAGTAAGAGATGTAAGTGAATAAAAAATATAAACGAATAACTTACTTTAAAGTTGTTTCAAGATTGTTAACAAGTCCTTTCAAATGATTTCTTTCGGCTATAACCATTATAAGTTTTTTTTCATTTTCAGGTTGAATTTCCTCTATATGTTTTATATGATTACAAAGATCACGTTTTTCATTTTCATATTGATATTTTAACTCATCCAATAATATTTTACATTCTTCAATAGCAGTAACATGAACAGTAGTAGGCACTGTTTGTTGTTCTTTATTCCTCATTTCTTCAAATTCTTTACTTAAAATTTCATATTTCCCTCGTAAATTGCTCAATTCTGATACTGTTATTGAATGCTCCTTTTTTAGGGCTTCATTGCATTTTAAAATCACTTCTATTTTTGATTCATATGACGAACGAATATCATTAGTTTCTCTTTTTATATTTAAAGTTTCCTTTTTTAAAATATCATTCTGTTTCTTTAGCAACGCGGTATTTTCAACCATTTTTTGTATTTCCTTTGTGTACCTGTCACACTATATTTTTTTATTACAGTTACTTATATGATAACTAAATACATTTTTTATTACATATCGCATCATTACATATGTATAATCTTATATATTATATTATTTATAATTATTTACCTCTGATTTCAATTCTTCTACTTCTTTATGCATAATTTCATTTTCTGTAAGAATTTGTTTACATCTACTACTAAAATCAGCCATTTCCTGTTCATACATATATATAAGTTCTTGTTTTTCTAATAAATTTTCTTGATAAGCATTTAAAAGTGGACCTAATGCATGAAAATTGATATTTCCCCAAATTCTTGAATCATATTTCTTTTCATTGTTACCGTTATTGGATGTAGAAACATTTTCATGTTTTCGATCTCCTAATTTGTCTTGATATCTTTCTAATTCAGCATTCAATTGATAAACAATAGTTTTTAAAAGCGTAATATCCTCATTCGATTGAATCTTTTCTGTTTCAAGTTGTTTATTTTGTTTAAGTAAATTAATTTTTGCTTCTTCTAATTCTTGAACCATCTGTATCAATGCCTCATAATGTAAACATAATTTCTTATATTCCAATTCTTTTTGCTCCAAAATATTATTTAATTTTTGACATTCTTCTTGAATATTTTTGTAACATTTTTCCAATTTATGGTATTCATTAACTACTTTCAATGTTTCCTTTGAAACATACTTATCTTTTAATCTTGATAAATTAATACCTGAAAAAATATATAATTTTTATTATCACTTATTCAAAAAAAAAAGTGATCTTATATCACATATAAATTACCCGAATCTGCATCATCCTTGTCAAACGATGTTTTCTGAGAATTATTCTCTTCGGTTAATTTTTTACTTCTTTCATGTTCATATATTTTACTTTTTCTTTTCGAAAGTACTTCATCCTCATGATTTTTCATATCATTATCATTATCAGTTATGCAATCTGATAGATTCTTATGCGCTTTAAGCGTATGTTTTGTCTTTGAAATATGTCTACGACAATATACTGGTACAAAAGTTGTATCTTGATTGCTTTTAACACTTGTTGCTCTTCTATGACTATGCTATTATATAAAAAAAAAGCGAGGTTAAGATCATTCGAACTTACATAACCTCTCGTTTTATTTACAAATAATAATAATATATTTGTATTAAATGTAATAATAATTACCTTTTTTCTTTCTTGTTCAATACTAGCATTAACACTGGCCATTGCTTTTTCTTTTTTTGTAGTTTAAGATATAGTTTATAAAATTATTCATTCGAAACTAATTAATAAAAATATTTAAATTAGTGAATAAATTAACCAACTTCGCACAGTAATAATACCATAAATTTACTTAAACAAAATATGCATACATATATTTGTATACCATTGCATATTTTTATTAATTTCCACATTTGTATCCTATTCATTGTCATAGTAACTAGATACTTACTTAATATACTAATACTAGATGGCGTTTAATTCAATTTTCGGTTCTATTCTAATCCATCTGTTTTTATCTTTCTACTTATTTACTAAAGCGATTCGAAGGTATAAAATTCGAAAAAATCAAGTAGATTATAATTGATGTTTTTCGTTTTCATTTCAAAGTAATTGTTTCAATATTTTCTAATAAATTATTATATAATAATATATATTATTGATGAAAACTGTATATATAATGAAAATATATTTTTTGTTCTTTGTATCAAATGTAATAATAATTAATTAAGTAATAAATATAATTAATGTAAATAAATTAACTTGTTAAAACTGAATAATGATTTTTTTCAATAATAATAATATCGTTTTTCATTATTTGAAAAATCACCTATATCTTTTTACCTATATCTTACTTATATCTATTCTGATTAAAAAAAAAAATATTACAAGAAAAATGTTTTTTGTTAAATAGTTGTTTTAATTTATAATATTAATATTATCAATTTTTTAATCGCTATCAATAACATTTATGCATTATCGTACATATATAATTTTTTTAAAAAATTGAAATAGAAAAATGGAAAATGGATGATTGATAATATTCATCAGTAAAATATTCATATCTTTTTTTTATGCATTTTTACTTTTTAGAAAATTATATATTTATAATAATGCATAAAATTGTTATTGAAAAGTTGATAATAATCAATTATTTATACGTATGTGTGTATGTATATGCGTGTGACAGAGAAATATATACACATAGGTAAAAAAAAAAAAAAAAAGGAAGAAATTTTAATTATTTTAGCATTATTAACAATGATATCATAACATTTATTAATATCAATTTTCAAATATCTATAAGTACACGAGATAATCGATCGAAGAATGCTTACAAGAGATAAATAATAATTGTAACGATAAATTTTTCATTGTAATTTAGTGAATCTATGTTATTAACAAATAAAATATTTTTTGAAATATTTTAAAAATATCAAGAAATAATAATTACTTTATTGAGTTATTGATATTAATACCTTTTAATCGATCAATGTCGTATCTTGTACAATTTTCAATTTAATTTAAAATATCTCTAGATATCTTAGATGTTTATTATAGAATCTAATCTGACATGAGTAATCGTTTTAATCTTCGAAATGATTATTATCGCTTAATTAAAAGACAGGAATGCGCGCGGCGAATATCAACAACGTTGAAGATTTTCGTTTTCGTAGCAATTTTTTTCGTAACGATTGCAAAAATATTATTAGGTAGCTATCGTAAATCCATTTTTATTCTCGAGGTTGCAACTACCTTTGATAAGGCGACTTGTACAATGATAATACCGGTGAAATTATATAGCTTTTCGTCTTCACGACTATGGATAAAAACCTCGAAACGTAGGCAAATGCAAGCAGATGGTCGTTACAGTGCTTTCGAAATTTTTTTTGTTCTTGCCAATAGCGTAGCAAAATTGATTGATTGATCAAAAGCATTATGGCTCTCGTAAACAATATCACAACGTTTCATATTATGAGAAAAGGTACATACACTGTGAATCTCTCGTATTTAACAAATTTGGAACGAGCAATTCCAAAAAAAAAAAAAAAGAAAAACTATATATACGCACAACTATATACAAATCAATACTTCTTATCGTATGTTTTAACGTTTTTTATTATTTCGTTATAAATACAAAATGTAACGTAGATTACAATTTGATCACTTCGAGAATTTTAAACTGTGATTTACATCATTTTCTTCCAATTATTTTCGAGGAAAATTTTTTTTTTTTTTTTATTCCCCAAGTTACAGCGGCGTTATTGATATTCTGCGGATCAATCATGCTTTCGGCCAAATTGATTAAGGGGCAGTGCAACTATAATCAAAATCTAATTCCCGGTACCACGTATTACATCTACACACCCAATTACCCGTATTATTATCATGGATCAGAGTCATGCGTGTGGACCATCACCAGCGACTATCGAGTGAATTTGACTTGTACCACCTTCGAGCTACCATGGGTAAGAGGAAAAAAGAATTTTTCATCCGGTTTAATTAACAACTCTCTCTCTCTCTCTCTCTCGTTTCCTCAGAGTTACAACTGTTTTCAAGACAGTTTAACCGTGCAAATCAATTCCACTGCCTCGCATCGTTATTGCGGTAACGGAGGGTTCAACATCGTATCCTCGTCGAGCTCAATGGTCGTGACGTTTTCGTCGCCTATATGGTCGCAGGGTGGTCGTTTCCTCTGCGAGATTCGGGCTGTGAAGAGGCCGCAAGACTCCATAGATTGCCAATGCGGATGGAACAATCCCGTACGTATCTCTTTGTATATCGTATATTCGAATATTTCACGATTTCATTCTTTCTTTTTTTTTTTTTTTTTTTTTTTTTTTTTTTTCTTTCCGCCCTTCAAAGTCGAGGATCGTGGGCGGAACCGACACGGGAGTGAACGAGTTCCCCATGATGGCAGGGATCGTGGATGCTGACGAACGCTCGGTGTTTTGCGGATCCACCATAATATCCGTAAGATACGTGCTCACAGCGGCGCATTGCATGACGAACAGGAATTATACGCGATTAGGAGTGTTGGTTGGCGATCACGATATAAGTTCGGGTAAATAAATATCAAATAGATGCGGTAATTGGAAATACGTACAATTGATCGATTTAGTATATATATATGTATCAAGACTCGGACACAAACGCGACCATGCTCTATCAAGTGAGTAAAATGATCGTGCATCCGAATTACGCCCACGACAATTTCAACGACGTGGCCCTCTTGAAAACGAGGAGGAAAATGGAATTTGGGAACCAGGTTGGCCCTGCCTGTCTACCCTTCCAACACTCGCCCGACACTTTTGCCGGCTCGTTCGTTCAATTGTTGGGTAAGTATGATGCTAATAATAACGTTGAAATTTCAAGTAACATGAGCATGTTGATGTGGAGATCAGGTTGGGGTACTACGAGTTTCGGTGGCCCACCCTCTGACATTTTGCAAAAAGTTACGGTGAGCGTGCTCACGAACCTTCAATGTTCCAAATTTTATCCGGATTTAACGCCTCAACAGATATGTACCTACGCGGAGGACAAGGACGCGTGTCAGGTGAAGCGAGCGTGTGATAAATTTTTTAGAAAAAAAAAAAAAAAAAAATGTGTATAACAATAACGTTTTTCGAGACGATTTGATTAAACAGATGGATAGCGGGGGACCGGTTCTCTGGCAAAATCCTACGACCAAGCGTTTCGTCGTGGTGGGAATCATCAGTATGGGTATCGGTTGTGGCGACACCGCTGGTGTAAATACCAGAGTCGGTGCTTACATAGACTGGATTGTCTCAGAAACTACAGGTTCGAATGCCTTGTATAGAATATATATATATATATATATATATACACGCGATGTGTGAGTGGAAAATTTTTGTATTCGCGTAATTGTTTCGATTTTTATTCCAGATTCTACGTACTGCATCATCGAATAAGACGGTTCGATCGTTTCGACTCGATTCGACGCGTTACCACGACGGATAGCTAATTTCGTTTCGTTAATTTTGTCGACGAAGCAATTTGCATTTTTTTTTTTTTTTTT